TTGAGCGCTTGGTGAAGTGCTTGGAGCGCTGGGTGAAGCGCTTGGAGCGCTTGGTGAAGCGCTTGGAGCGCTTGGTGAAGCGCTTGGAGCGCTTGGTGAAGTGCTTGGAGCGCTTGGTGTGCTTGGTGAAGTGCTTGGAGCGCTTGGTGAAGTGCTTGGAGTGCTTGGTGAAGCGCTTGGAGTGCTTGGTGAAGCGCTTGGAGCGCTTGGTGAAGCACTTGGAGTGCTAGGTGAAGTGCTTGGAGCGCTTGGTGAAGCGCTTGGAGCGCTTGGTGAAGTGCTTGGAGCGCTTGGTGAAGTGCTTGGAGCGCTTGGTGAAGCGCTTGGAGCGCTTGGTGAAGCGCTTGGTGAAGTGCTTGGAGCGCTTGGTGAAGTGCTTGGAGCGCTTGGTGAAGTGCTTGGAGCCCTTGGTGAAGTGCTTGGAGCGCTTGGTGAAGTGCTTGGAGCGCTTGGTGAAGTGCTTGGAGCGCTTGGTGAAGCGCTTGGAGCGCTTGGTGAAGTGCTTGGAGCGCTTGGTGAAGTGCTTGGAGCGCTTGGTGAAGTGCTTGGAGTGCTTGGCGAAGCCCTTGGAGCGCTTGGTGAAGCGCTTGGAGCGCTTGGTGAAGTGCTTGGAGCGCTTGGTGAAGCGCTTGGTGAAGCGCTTGGTGAAGTGCTTGGAGCGCTTGGTGAAGCGCTTGGAGCGCTTGGTGAAGAGCTTGGAGCGCTTGGTGAAGTGCTTGGAGCGCTTGGTGAAGCGCTTGGGGAAGCGCTTGGAGCGCTTGGTGAAGTGCTTGGAGCACTTGGTGGAGCGCTTGGAGCGCTTGGTGAAGTGCTTGGAGCGCTTGGTGAAGCGCTTGGAGCGATTGGTGAAGTGCTTGGAGCGCTTGGGAAAGTCTTGGAGTGCTTGGTGAAGTGCTTGGAGCGCTTGGGGAAGCTTGGAGCGCTTGGTGAAGTGCTTGGAGGCTTGGTGAAGCGCTTGGAGCGCTTGGTGAAGTGCTTGGAGCGCTTGGTGAAGTGCTTGGAGCGCTTGGTGAAGTGCTTGGAGCGCTTGGTGAAGCGCTTGGAGCGCTTGGGGAAGCGCTTGGTGCGCTTGGTGAAGCGCTTGGAGCGCTTGGTGAAGTGTTTGGAGCGCTTGGTGAAGTGCTTGGAGCGCTTGGTGAAGTGCTTGGAGCGCTTGGGGAAGCGCTTGGAGCGCTTGGGGAAGCGCTTGGAGCGCTTGGTGAAGTGCTTGGAGCGCTTGGTGAAGCGCTTGGAGCGCTTGGTGAAGTGCTTGGAGCGCTTGGTGAAGCGCTTGAAGTGCATGGTGAAGTGCTTGGAGCGCTTGGTGAAGTGCTTGGAGCTCTTGGTGAAGAGCTTGGAGCGCTTGGTGAAGTGTTTGGAGCGCTTGGTGAAGTGCTTGGAGCTCTTGGTGAAGCGCTTGGAGCGCTTGGTGAAGTGCTTGGAGCGCTTGGTGAAGTGCTTGGAGCGCTTGGTGAAGTGCTTGGAGCGCTTGGTGAAGTGCTTGGAGCGCTTGGTGAAGTGCTTGGAGCGCTTGATGAAGCGCTTGGAGCGCTTGGTGAAGCGCTTGGAGCGCTTGGTGAAGCGCTTGGAGCGCTTGGTGAAGCGCTTGGAGCGCTTGGTGAAGCGCTTGGTGATGTGCTTGGAGCGCTTGGTGAAGCGCTTGGAGCGCTTGGTGAAGTGCTTGGTGAAGAAGTGCTTGGAGCGCTTGATGAAGCGCTTGGAGCGCTTCGTGAAGCACTTGGAGCGCTTGGTGAAGTGCTTGGAGCGCTTGGTGAAGCCCTTGGAGCGCTTGGTGAAGCGCTTGAAATGCTTGGTGAAGTGCTTGGAGCGCTTGGTGCAGCGCTTGGAGCGCTTGGTGAAGTGTTTGGAGCGCTTGGTGAAGTGCTTGGAGCGCTTGGTGAAGCGATTGGAGCGCTTGGTGAAGTGCTTGGAGCGCTTGGTGAAGTGCTTGGAGCGCTTGGTGAAGTGCTTGGAGCGCTTGGTGAAGCGCTTGGAGCGCTTGGTGAAGTGCTTGGAGCGCGTGGTGAAGCGCTTGGAGCGCTTGGTGAAGTGCTTGGAGCGCTTGGTGAAGCGCTTGGAGCGCTTGGTGAAGTGCTTGGAGCGCTTGGTGAAGCGCTTGGAGCGCTTGGTGAAGTGCTTGTGGAGCGCTTGGTGAAGTTCTTGGAGCTTGGAGCGCTTGGGGGAGCGCTTGGAGCGCTTGGTGAAGCGCTTGGAGCGCTTGGTGAAGCGCTTGGAGCGCTTGGTGAAGCGCTTGGTGAAGCGCTTGGGGAAGCGCTTGGTGAAGCGCTTGGAGCGCTTGGTGAAGCGCTTGGGGAAGCGCTTGGAGCGCTTGGTGAAGTGCTTGGAGCGCTTGGTGAAGCGCTTGGTGAAGCGCTTGGTGAAGCGCTTGGAGCGCTTGGGGAGGCGCTTGGAGCGCTTGGTGAAGTGCTTGGAGCGCTTGGGGAAGGCTTGGAGCGCTTGGGGAAGCGCTTGGAGCGCTTGGTGAACTGTTGGAGCGCTTGGGGGTGAAGTGCTTGGAGCGCTTGGGGAAGCGCTTGGAGCGCTTGGGGAAGCGCTTGGAGCGCTTGGGGAAGCGCTTGGAGCGCTTGGGGAAGCGCTTGGAGCGCTTGGGGAAGCGCTTGGAGCGCTTGGTGAACTGTTGGAGGGCATTGGTGAAGTGCTTGGAGAAGATCTCTTAGCGTAGCATGAAATGTGGGTGCAAGTGCAAGAGAAGATCTCATAGCGTAGCATGAAACCTGGGTGCAAGTGCAAGAGAAGATCTCATAGCGTAGCATGAAACGTGGGTGCAAGTGCAAGAGAAGATCTCAGCGTAGCATGAAACGTGGGTGCAAGTGCAAGAGAAGATCTCATAGCGTAGCATGAAACGTGGGTGCAAGTGCAAGAGAAGATCTCATAGCGTAGCATGAAACGTGGGTGCAAGTGCTAGAGAAGATCTCATAGCGTAGCATGAAACGTGGGTGCAAGTGCTAGAGAAGATCTCATAGCGTAGCATGAAACGTGGGTGCAAGTGCAAGAGAAGATCTCATAGCGTAGCATGAAACATGGTTGCAAGCGCAAGGAACGTTATCACGCCCCCGCACCCCCCACCACCCGCCGTCACACACAAAGTCAGCAAATCATCATGAATGCGTGACAAGGTCCACAGCAGCTGAGGTGTTGACCTGAGAGGAGAGGTGAATATGTGGAAAAACGTAGGGGTCATTAATGACGCCGTTGGCAAAAACAACTGTCAGTTTGAACCTGGACCCACTCTTGTTCCCTTCCTTCCACCTGACCGCTCCGTATCACTCCTCTTCTGCATGCAAAGGCAAGTCAGAAGGGCTGATGTCCACCTCAGGTGATCAATGCATCAACTTGCCTCACTTCTGTGAAAGTTGCCGCTTCCACCTTGAACAGTTTAGAATTTTTAGAACAGGTTGCCCAAAGAACTGCACTCCTCAAAACATTTTGGTTTTCAGGGCCGCCTTGCAAGTGCTACATCTCCAGGAAGCAGCATCCTGAATCATACTGTGGCGGGGTCCAGCATTTGCAAAGCCCTGGTCATCCTGCGAAGTGTAGCAAGGGAAACAATATCCTCCACAACCTCCAGGGCACTGCACTCGTCGTGGCAGGTCTTCAGCAGCACATCGCTGACAACCGCAGACGAAGCACAGTTGCGCTAAGCGCTGTCTTCGAATCAAGGTGCTGGTGATCAGGTTCATGCCTTTTTTCCAGGTTGACAAAACCGGTGTAAAAGAAGCAGATAGCTTTCATATCTATGTTTACGGCATGCTTTGTTGGAACAGAAACAGCTTGCACATTTTCAATTTTGAAGCTACCATTGCCGACATAGGAGAAGGTGAGAACCTCCAGTGGAGCAATTGGGCGAATGGCTCGATATTGTAAATGTCCCGCCGCATCAAATGCCCAGGAGGCGTTGGGTGCACAGCTGTGCGAGAATTTGGAGCCGAGCAAAAAGATACCCGTGAATTCTGCATTCTGCGGCCTGCGATGCAATCAAAAAGTCTTTGATATTCTTTGATGGGTTCTCTGGCTTTGGGAGGAGCAGGGATGCAAATTTACAAGCTCAATCCTTCAGGATGTTGATGCTCCGAACAGCTTTTCAGCAAGCGTGTAGACTGGCCTTTCGTCATCTTTGTGAATGTTCAGGTCCACGATATGCAGAAAGTGTAGCCTGTGAAAAAGTTAGCAAAAAACTGAATCAAAAATGCAACCGTGCAGCAAAGAAACTAATAGACTAGATTGGGAGGATTCCTGCTGGCAAACCAACTCAACAAGGCATTGAGAGGCGTCACCAAGAGTTGCTCTCATGTCAGTGAATCAAGTTGTGACACAAGTGAACCAAGATCAAGAAGTGGATCAAGAAAAGGCGCAATTCTTGTGGCGTCCACTTTGTGGAGCGCAATGGTGGCCAGCGCAGCAGCTCTTCACACGCGGCGAGGTGAGAGTCTTGGCTGCGTTTCTCCGTGCCCGGATGCGCATAGAACAGCTTTAGAGATGCCTCAGCCGCTAACCCAACGAGATCCAACTCGGACCCAACTCGTCAACAAGTCACAAGACAAGTCACAAGACAAGTCACAAGACAATTGACAAGGCTCAGCCCTGGTGTGGCATGGTGCGAGCCATACTTCACTTGAAACCAAACCAAGTGATGAACAAGATTCCAGAATGTGGTCATGCCCCACAATGTTTTGGCACCCTGTGACCGAAACTCTCTTCAAAGCTTTTTTGGAAAAGCGTCAGGGCTTTGATGTGCTTTAGACAACACTCAGCAACACCTCTGCCATTCAATTCATCCAACATCTGCAAGCTGAAACAAGCTGAAACAAGCTGAAACCACTCACCAACCTGTAATTAACTTATATACTCGTATTAATCCATTAATACTAGCACAACTGGTGACTAAAGCGGAAACCTCAACGGCCCAGGATGGCCTCTCTGAGCTGCGGAGTGGTGGATGTCCAGTCCACTGCCAAGGCCGGGGTCAGAAATTCGCCCAACTCGCCAAAGCGCTGCAGCAACGACCGGGCATCTGCTGTCAACGGCGACAATCCTGGGATGTGACCGCGTCACCAAAAGTCACACGTCACCATCCAAAATCAAACTTACGAAATATTTGGTTCTTTGAAGTCTGGCTTCAGGATTTAAATCTGAAAAACGCCACAAGTCCTTTGAATGTTGCCCACAGCAAGGGTTTCAACTAGTTTCAACATGTGCAAAGAAGCAAAACATGGTAAAACATCGTGAAACACACCGTGAATCAGCACCGAGCCACGGAGGAGCGCATCCTCTGAGATGATCAAATCACCCGGGTGAATTGCACACCTCGAACGAGCCAAGCAGTCTTTGACTGCATCTAGTCTTGGAATAGTCTATTAGAGTGTTATTAGCGTTAATGTTGCTAGAGTGTTGTTAACATCCCTCAGGCTTGATGCATATATCATGTATCACATATCATATATCAGATGTATTTACTTGATGGTGACAAAGTTCCTTTCTGGAGAGTGACCACTTTCTTCCCGGCAGCTTTTGGAATGGCGGTGCGCTGAGTGTATTGGAACCGAACTTGGCCCACCTTGCCACTGCGTGGATTCCAAGCGATTCAGTGCGTCGAAGCTCGAAGCACTCACTGAGCTTGGGCAAATCCACCTTCTTCGCAGCCCACTCTTCGAAGAGCTCCGAATTTGGCACGGAACCATCGCAAATCGACATGCCGATTTGCGTCGTTTTTTTGGTGAGCTGTGACAACTGTGCTTTTTCCATTGGGCTGCGCTTCTTTAAATATCTTCACTTGTTGAATGGTATGAACAAGGAAAGGGATTCCAGGAACATGAAGTTTCTTTCTCGCGTCTGGTTAGCAACTTTTTGGGGACGCAAAAGAATGCTTTTGATCACAAGATGAAGCTAGTTTGAGCCTCGGCAAGAAGTCCCCCAAGCAATCTGCCTGTCCAAATGCATTTCCACACCATAGACCACTTCCTGTTTGAAACAATGCCTGCAAAAGAGCTCGGGCTCATGGCCTTTTCAGGCTTTGAAGACCTTTTCGCACTTTGCCACACATTCCTGGCCACGACAAAAACAAGAATCGCTACAGCCTTCAAACTTCAAAGAAATTCGGCCAGTCACCGACATCGAGTTTGATGTTCTTTCCGTCCTTTTCTGTGTTGCAATTCCCTCCGTGCAACTTGGTGGTCTTCCCTTTCCCTGTGAACTTCCATGCCCTTACCCAAAAAGGTTCCGCACCTGCGGTCTCGTAATGTCCTTGAATTCATCGCCCATTCCTGGCATCAGTAGAAGCAGGTAGAAACTGCTGACCCTAGTCATGAAGCGAAGGGAAAAGACCACACAACGAAGGGTCAATCTATCAGCCCCCATGCCACGCTGCCTTTCATGCCAAAGCGTTGGCATTGTACCTGGCAGCGTCAACTTGTTTGGACAAAGTTGGTCGCAAAACAATCACAAGCGGAAAGAAATTGCAGGTGAAAGTGCCTGCACCTACGCCAAGTTTTCTGCGCAATTGGTGAAATTGATGCAGTTGCCGATCTTACATGTCAATGAAGAAAATGACCAGGCCCTCATTCTCATGACGGATTTTTCATTGCCACGTGAGAGTCGTAGATCAGGGTCCTGCCTTGCACTGCTGCAGCGTCATCTTCGTGGTGCTTTGGCCTCAGGCACAGATCGACGTGTGCTGACAGCTTTCGATAGCAACCAGAGGTGCAGGCAGTGCACGCAGTGCTTAAGTCAGACCCTTTCAATTTTCACGGGCGTAAGCCAACGAAAAAAGAAACTCGAAGATCCAAAGGCCATCCTAAACTTTTGGAGATGTCTCAAAGCCTCAAAGCGAAAGTCATCCATCAGCCACCCCGTGCCTTGGGCCACAGAGCTGGGCCTGGGGTCGCCCTGGCAGAGCATTGCTGCAATGATATGCGCCATGAACCGAGGGATCCAGCCATCCGATTCCCCCTAGTCACAGCAAACATACGAAAAAATCATGAGAAAATGTGTCCATGTATGTCCATGTCGTGTTTTTATTCATGGTGACCATGACATGGCTATGAGATGGGCAATTCTGCCCATGGCGCCCAGAGCTGGACCTCCAAAGAAATGGCCGAGGCGCACATGAACTCGGAGAACTTCACGGCTTTCCAAATACAACCGGCTGTATCGACTGGTGACTTGAACGTCTTCCATTGAATTGGTTTCCGCATTCAATGAAATACTGAAGTACTGAGAAAAGAAGCCCTGATCTTTTACATGGAAGGCCACAGAGTGGGACTCAGTTTGCGGCGCAAAGAAACCACCTGGGATTTGGAGTCAAATTATCGCAGTGACTGTGCAAGGCTTGCCGAAAACGTCTGCATTCCTATTGCGCAAAAACTGATCCCAAAGTGGTCACAATGGCTGACACGCGGAGTTCATGTAGCAAAAGCCACCATTTTGGAAGACTTGTGGATACTCGTGCGAAATTGCTCGCGCGAAATTGTTTTGGATCTTCAAACAGAATGCAAACGTGGAGGGTTTGCAGCCTCCATGCTTTCAATCATGAAGGCGTCATCAACCCTGCGTAGAGAATGTAAACAAGAAAACCTTGCCCTCCTTCAAACCATGGCGCTTCCAGTCCATGGTCTAGAGCAACCTGCGACGGGCAAATTTCAACAGTTAGGTTCCGCTGCCGTTTGTCAAACAGATGTTTTCAAACATTTTGAATATACCTGTCGAATGGCAACTTGCGCAGGTCCATGCAAGGGGGAGGATACACCAAAGCAACATCTTGAATGCAATGCTTTTTCGCTATCCCTTTGTCTGTCAGATATTTTTCCTGAAAGTTTTTAATCATATCTAGTCTATTTCTTAACTCTATGGCTCAGCAGCCTCTCCGTCAAATATCGATTTCTGTGATGTAGAATATCAGCGGCTGATGCCAAAGCGACCTTTTTCATGCCTCTTCTGGTTTTTCTGCTCCCCAAACAATTGGAACCGGCTGAAAATTCGGCAGCATCCGATGTCTCCAACCCACCGTTTCACACAGGGAGCAATGAATTCTTTGCTGCAATGTTAGCCAGCAATAAACAAGTTTGACGAACTTAGCAACAGTCTCCCTTTCATCTGCTAGCAATAGAATCGCTATAGTAGTGGAGCAACGCTGCAACTGATCCACGTTTGTGGAGTCGGCCGACAAGTTGCGAGCAATAGCAATTGGCAGTTGATGCTTCAGGGAAAGATCTCAACTGATAAGATTTCTCGCAATGGATTCACGCATGGATGTGCGTGAACATGGCACTACTCAAAATGAACATTGCTGAGCCATCAAGGTCACTGTAGCAATAGCTAAGTTGAACAAGTGCCACTATCTCTGTGGCATGTGCAAAGGCAGGCAGTCAGGCTTTATGCTTGAATAATATCTTCGGATCTGAAGACGTCACAATCAATACCAAAGATGTCCAAACATATTCTGAAGGCACTTCCAAAACTGAACATCCAGTGGCCTCATCTGCCAAGCTCTACTTTTGCTGTACATGTCTACGTTTGTGCTGAAAGACAGCGAACAAAAACTAGAGTCCGTATTCGTCATGTAGGCAAACTGCTTCATACCTGCTTCAAACCTGCTTCAACTGCCGCGATCTACGACCTCTGCTCATCAGCTGGAGGTATGCGTTGAAAAGCAACGCCGTTGCAGCACAGGAAGACATTCCAGAACTCCAGAAAATGATTTCCAAGCTTGGGATCCAAGGAGGTAAACTTCTGCATTCTAGATCCCAGATTTCTAGCTGGTGAAAAAAAACAATAACAATCTCCGAATGATAAACACCTGGAAAAAGCCTCATTGCGAACCTTAGCTGGTCGAAACACTTCAGTGTCTCGGCCCGGATGCAAAGGATCAGTACATGTAGACGCGAATGCCTTCACAGTTTGAATGCAGCTGGCTCAGCTTATTTCATGTCAAGTCTCTAACTTCCCCCCTGTGCTGCATGCATTAACGGCTGCGTCACACAGCTAGGACAGGAGCAGTGGACAGCCTCCTGATCAAGGCAGTTTCAACTTTGGTATCGTTGTTCCATATGATTTCGCAAGATTGTCTGCATGTTTGGCATTCTCACTTCACAAACGGCCATTTATTCCATTTGATTCTTGGCAGTTTTGTATCAAACTGCTCTGCAGGGCTCTGCGCAACTGCACAGCCTCACTTCGTCGTCACTTCGTCAGCTGCGCTATGAGCCTCAGGGACTTCGCGGGCTGCACCACGCTGCACCACGGCCAGGGCCCTGCATCCTGTCAGCCTCCCTGCCCTAAGCTCCGCTAAGCTCCGCGCTGAGTGTGTCGACTCTTGCGGGACAACGTCAAACGCGTCTCCGCCTGTCATCGCAGATCTGGCTTGCCAAAACACTAGCGTTCTGGCAGCAACGGGGTGCCAGGTTCTTCAATCTTTGATTCAGAAAGACAGTACTGCACTTCTATGCAGTTCTGTGCAATTCTCATGATGTTACTCTCCAAAACAATCACAGCATCACCATGTTCTCATGTCCGAGACTTGAAGGGGCAATTGTAAACACCATCAAGCTACAGAAATCCACGAGTAGCCACGCTGTTCCACATAGTGCCCTGCCTTCACAGCTGAAACCTCCGCAGCTTCCGCTTCCATCCTGGCAAATTCCAGCTCTTCCGCTGAAGCGTCTTGTTGCTGCAAGGCCTCGTGGCGAAGGATCCCAACATCATAAAACTAGAAGATCTTATGGGATCTCAGTTATCTTCATGGATCTGTGGTCTGTGATGGAAAAAATCACCAAGGAGCAGTGGACCTTGCCAAAATGTTAGTAATTGCTCAGGATTTCTGAATGCACGTTTAAGGGTTTGCAACTTACACAACAGATCACAACAGTGCAATGACGGATGAAGATGGGCAGGATGAAGTGCTCTGAGAGAAATCTGTCCAGCCAGCTGTGAATACCATCAAAGCCCGTCAATCCCTCAAGCTTCATAAGTCTTGATATCTGTGACATTCTGTGACTTTGATGTGTTGGAGCGCCTCACTTCCCGCGAGATTCCCAACCGCAACTGCTAACTTTGAACCCTGCTTTTCAGACAAGCTTCAGCCAAGTTAGCAGCTGCTTGCTCTGCATCCTCCCGGCAGCGCTCTGCCTGGTTCAATACATTGTAGACTGAGAAAGGACTAAGTGACTACAGGGATTTGAACTATCAGAACGTTGTGTAAATGATGATAACTACGTATGCGTATGTACATGAGTGATCACTGGACAACTTGCGACAACTTGCTGCGTTTGACGCTTCCTGATCCAATCCCCATCCAGGCCTCGATCGCCAGCACTCTTTCCTGATTGATCTTTGCAGTCAGCTTACCCAAGCCTTGGAAACTTTTCATAACTTTTGACTTACTTTTCAGCATCTCAAAATGTGACGAGAATACGATACGAAGACACAACGTGAATTTTCCGCCGTGTCTGTGGTCGAGGTCGAGTCCTCAAGTCTCAGTGCCTGGCGTAACATGTACTTCTTTTGGATCTCTGGCAGCACGTATTTTCCCAGACCTGCTTCTTCGAAGCGACGCATAGTCGTATCCAACTGCGGCATAATGAATCCTTGGAGCAAGCCGAGCAAGCAGCTTGGCAAACCGCGGACAAAAGGAACTCAACGAACCAAGATTCAACAAATATGCAGCCGACTTTCACTACTGCGATGATTGGCATGCAAGTCTGTGCATCAGTCTCTGCTTGCTTTCTCTGCCTTGGCCTATTTCTTTAGGCAAAGCTTGTGGAAACGTTTCGGCTCCCTTTTTAAGCCATATTTGTGATTCCATGTATTGACAAAGGCACCAACGCTTGCCAGCAACTCGCGCTTTTCATCAGTCTCTACATCTCCCTCAGCCAGCTTGTTCAATGCTGCCATTTCTGCGTCCTGCTTGCAGACTGTCATGACACTACAGCATTACAGCCAACAGTATTAATCAAGAACTCTTCAACGAAATGTCTGGATGAGATCCCAGTGTTCGGCTTCCTTTTGCCTACGGCACTTATGGCATGTACCCTTTGCCTTTCTTTCTTCCCCAAAGGGCCCAAAGGATCCAGCTTGACATGGTCCTTTCGGCGCTTCATCTTCTTGTTGTGTGCCGTCATGTAGATCTCATTCAAGACGGCATCAGGCCCAGTGACCAGTTGACCCGCTTTCTTCATGACCTGGTAAAGAAAATACATCGGAACGAAAGGAACGAAGAACATCAACGTGAAGGCGAAAGCCGTGATGATGAAGTTCACCCGCACGATCATCTCTTCGTACAAATGCCGGTCTTGGTGATTCTCAAGGAGCTCTTTCATCACAGCACACCAAAGGATCATGAAGAGGATGGTCATCAAAAGTGACTCCTGGCAGCTCGTTCTCTCACTTCTACTTTGGATGTTTGCACTTTTTTTTTTGCATGGTCTCTCTAAAATGCAGCAACCAGGGCGCCCTCGACAAGGAAACTCGCAGCTATGGCGCGTGCAACTACCAATGTTCTGCCCCTGTAGGCTTCTGCTTAGGTGGTGAACATGTGAACTTCTGCATTCCAAGTCTCCGTCTTCACCACGAAGCGAGACTTGTATGGACTCAAACCTTGGTGGCGCTGCATGGATCAACCACTCAACATCATTCTTTTACTGCTGTCTCGCTGCGAGTCTCACTTGCTAAAACTCACTTAGACACTGTCAGTGCTGAAACATTCACAGCTTGAGAAGGATTTCAAATTTAATACCTCGTCTTAGCTTCTGTTTCGGTATGGTCAAGAAACAAATGAGCATGGTGACGTTCAATGCGAAGATCAACATCTGTAAGCCAGCACCAATGACCACCAAGTTATTGCTGGTCAGCTTGATGGCGGCGTTAGACAACAAGTTTCGTAGCAAAGTGTTCACTAAGAAGATCCATCCATAGGTGATGAGATTTCCATCAGCCTCCCAACAGCTCACATTTTCCGCTTCTGAAAAAGGAAGATGGTTCAAACGGGGTGATCGTTTTTCTGTTTTATTTATTTTTTCTGTTTTATTTTTTCTCGAAACCGCTTCGAGTGAACATATCATTACGCCAGCTTTCTGTTGGTGTTTGCACGACAAAGGCTGCCAGGAAAGTGAAAGAACCCTCGCTACGAAAGAGAGTGAAGTGGTAAGTTGGACCAGCTTCAGCCGAGGACACTTTGAAAAAGATGAAAGATGGTTTTTCAACTTTCAACCGTTGACAGAGAGCAGTAATTCAGTGTGCTTCTCACAAAAATATGTTCTCACAACAATATCTTTCCAGCGAGGAAAACTTCAAATTTATGCTCATGACTCATGACGACTCATGATGATTCATGACGACTCATGACTCATCACTTTGTCAAGTGTCTTGGGTCCGTATGCATTCCCTAGCCCGACTAGCGCGAGCCTTTTCAGGCCAAGTATTTTTCTTCCTCAGCGAGTGACCAAGCTGGATTGACCCCAGAGTAGAAGTTCGAATACTCCTCTCCGGAGAAGTCTCATTCTCGGCAATCTTCACTGGCGAATCACACTGACACTAAGAATTTTTTCAAGCCAAGTTTCAAGAATCTTTTCTTGGCTTTTGTGATTGCAAGTCTCTGTTGCAACCCATCCTGACAGCGCTTTGGGTGCAAAACTACAGGCAACGTGAGAAAGGGGTTAATCTTGTTGCATCTGCACGCTGCGAAGAAAATGGTCTGTTTCTTGGCGACTGCGCACCAACTGTGGCAAGAGTGAGCTTACACAGATTCTGCCTGGCCCAACTCTGAACTTTTCTCCTGCTTCTTCGGCTCCTCTCACATGATTTGGCTCCAAAATGGGAATGCTGAGCATGATCTCTGTAGATTTCATTTGGAGCCAGGAAACTTTACCCTGTGCGACGAGGATATCAACTGGTCCGGCACTGCCATTTTCTTATAAGCATCCAGTATCACTCTAGATGAAGCAAGCTGTGGGAAACAGCCAGAAATCTGCGCAAATTCAGCACTCCTCTGGTTCTTTTGCATAGCGCTTCTCGCGATTGTCGCGCCCTTTCAACACATCCCGGGCCTCAGTCTGAAGGTATCCGAGATGCACAAGCCAAACCCTTGTACTTTGTGATGAAAAGCATGGTTTGAGTTACACGCACTTACCTCACTTTACCTCCGGCATTGCTTCAATCCCCCATCTACTTCGTTGATCCGGGACACTCGCATCTTCGCCTCTCGTTCGTGGAGCATGGCTGCAGACACATCGAAGGAACGGACAGCACAAACGTTCTCCATGACGCGAGTGCGAACCTCTGCAGTGTAGCCTCAGGACAACCCGGAATCTCGTCATCAGATAGTGTGGATCCAATATCGATAGATATCAATAGATGATGATCATTGACAATAACTGACGATAATAGGTGATAAGTGATGATAATTTAGGATGATAGATGACAATTAATGAACATCGAGGATAGATTTAACAGATGCCTGTGTGGAGCAAAACAGGTTCACTCTCCAAAAACAGCCCAGCTGCCACGTTGTCCAAAAGTGGACACCTCCACCATGGCCACCTGGCAGAATGGAAAGCCTACCAAGCCTGGATCGAAGCTGTTCTTCAAACAAAACCAAAATATTCAGCATCAAATATCAAAACATTATATCATATTAAGATCATTATTGATATCAATCCAATACTATATTGTCCCATACTATCCCACCCAAATTCTCATGCTATGCTTTGGCTATGCTTTGCAAACAGGTTCCAAACAGGCTCAGGCAGCGTAGAACGGGATGCTGCTTCGATCTCTTGTGCCCTGCTGCCACTGGTAACCTCAGCCCGTGCTGGTGTGGCCCATCGGGGCTTCACCGACCAAGATATCACCGTAACGGGGGCACAGTGGGCACAGTGGGCACACCCAAGGAATCCAAGGAGCTGCGCCAGATGCAATAGATCAGGCAACTGAAACCTGTAGAGAATACCAGCATTGCTAGTGAGCCTCAGTGCGGCGCGAAACCTGCTAGAGTCCCAGATCAAAAACTGTAATTCAGCACAAAGCACTGCACCCTGAAGTGCAAAAGCTTAAAAAAACTTAAAGAATTCTCTTACAGAGTCCGGAGTGGCAATACACAGGGGCTCTTGAGTTTGCAAGCCACAAGGCAGAGCGACAAGAAAGCTCAACAAGATCTGAAACACTATCTACAGGACATAGTTGGTTATGCTTGATTTTCTTGACCCTGCCGGAATGCCTGAAACTCTGTAGCATATTTTCATGTAGGAAATTTCAGCATTTGCCTTATTGCGAAGCTTCCACAAGCCCCGCCTGCACCGAACATTGCCACAAAGGTCTCATCATCAGAAGAACATGTGACCGATGCCACGTCGGCCAGAACAAAAATCCCATCACCCATGGAGACACAGGCGAAGGGGATCAGAATGGTGTCCAAATGAAACGGCAACCTCAACCAAACCACACCAAAATCACATGTCAGATGAGGTTGACGGCAGAAATGGGACAACCCAAATCTAAGGAATCGATTGAACATTTGTTCTAGCATGTAGAAGGCTTCCCAGTGGCCAAAGCTCACCGAATTCAGATGTGTCAACACCAAACACAAACATCAATAAACACCAGCAAAACCACCAAACTGCCACACCTTGCACGCTATCACGAACTCATCACAGCTAAACCGGGCTCAGTGGCAAGGCCAATAGGACCATACAAATGCAGCGAGCCCAGGCATTTGTCAACAACTGTCTCTTGGTTGCCTTGGCCTGCGAAATTTGCCAATTCCAACATTGGTTGCGTTGGCTTGGTGACAGCACAGCTTTGCTTCAGGCATTTTCAATTCAGTTCTTTTGCGTGCACAGCCGCAGCTTGTCATCTATGTCCCTGGCAAATGGATCTTTGATGAGTCAAGACATGTCAAGGCACCTCCGGTCCCAAGCCAGGCAAAGTAGAGATGCAGGCCATAATGTAAGCGGCCGTCAAAGGCATGATCATGAAATATGGCAAAACCTTAGTGGAGATGCTGTACACGATACATCACTACACATTACTATACATTACTATACTGTTGAAGGATTTCCTTGGCAGAAATCGATATACAACTTTGGATAACTTTGGGCCTTTGGGCTTTCCTGATGCTTCCTGCATCCAAAGACCAACAGGATTCTGAGCTATGATCTTCATCGAGGCAAAGCGCTGACTCTGGGCTGTTGGGAAAACATGTCATCTGCCCAGTGGCCTAATATCCCAGCCACTTCGTGATGTATGGCGTCTCTGCAGAACACTCCGGGGCAAAGAAATTCAGATTGAAGGAGAACATTTGGGCATACTTCACCTTCACAGAAACCAGTGCGATGGTGACTACACCATTTTCAAAGCCTGCAGGTACTTGGATCTCAAGGAATCTTCTTGGAATCTTTTTCATACATCCCCTCAAGTGCGGTTTAGTCGAGTCTCTAATTCTGTGAATGCAGCTGGCCATTCGAAGTCAAATCCTGAGACCTTGGTGAACGAAGTCATTACCTCGGCCAACGATGCGGAGCACCACGGTACTAATGAATACAAATCAAACAATATCAAATACACAAACAGTTCGAGGGATTTCCACGTAGCCTGCAATACATGTACAAAAGTTTTGTTCAGGTTTCGGAGGGCACTTTCTAAGTACCTTTTGACACAAACCTAATGTCACCTGTGCAGTGCGACACTACGATGCTGGATGATGCTGGCATCTAGAGCTTCCAAGTCGCTCCCAGCAATACCACGATCATCTTCCGGTCATCATCGAAGTTGACCCCGTCTACACTCTTTCCATCGCTCTCCTCATTTGACGCTGATAATGTTAAGTAACTAGTGACCTGGAATGACCTAGGTCCTACCAGCCTCAAACAGCTCTGTGTCAAACGGAATGCATTGGAATTCACCGTGTCTCAAATTATCACAGCTACTGGTAGCAATCTCTGAGCCGTCTCAGTCTTCTCCTGCTTCACTTGTTCTTTGGACTTTCGCGGCGCCGAGAAGGTGAGCCGAAGTGGGAAGTGTGACCTTTCGAACGTCTCGGATCATTCCACTGTCACAACTCCCCGCGGGTACTACGCACCGTGGGTCTCATGTCGTGCATCCAAGCTTTGGCAACTCCCCATGTGGTCCAAGTGGCGCTTGGACAATTTCTTGCACTTCAGCTTCTTTCCGAACCTGCGCAGCTCACTGCTGCTAACTGTGCAGCAGCAAATGGACACAGCTGACGCGTGGCCGCCACCCAACGATCAGATCCTTTATTAAACCTCCAGAATCTATGTTCTGCAGATATGTTGGGCACTCCCACATGATCACAGATAGTTCAGAACTCCCATTTCCCTATGCTTAATGGCACCTTAACTCGACGTCCATTGATGGTGTTGACTTTCCAGCCCGGCAACACCTGACGGAATCCAGGCATCATGTTCTGGCAGCACATTTTTGATCAAACTACAAGGAACATGTTGGGATGAAGCGTTTCCGGAAACGAGTGCTGGCCTGGTTGTTTCTACAGTTTGTTAGGGCATTACCCATCCCACTCAGACTTGGTCATGCGTCGCATCTTTGTATTTCTGTCAACAGTCAACAGTGCCTTGCCACGGAGAGGGGAATCCTTTGACAGACCTGCCAAGTGCACGATTTGGCTTTCGTCCACACGAAAGACCTCAGGATAACAGTTTGTGATAGTTTGTGACTTGGTTGCAAGACAAAATTGTGTCCAACTCAAGCCTCAACAGGTTCACAGTCAAAATCCAAATGACAAGTGACCATGCCCAGTTCATGATATTTGGAGAAGCTGTGACTCATTCCTAGGTCTTTCTTGTAGACGGTCACGGCCTTTCCTCAGATCGACACTCAAATGTCATCCACCAGTTTGCCGAGAAAACAAATAAGCTGCGCCAGCAAGGAAGTGGGAAACGATAAAACACCACGTCCAGCTTCATCATCACACATCAGTCACCTACAACTTACATCGCCACTATTTCACTGAGAAGTTTGTGCAGCTCCACCTACCCCGTGTGTCGCCTTGCTCGCTCGCCAAGCCGAGACACGGGCCTCAGATTTTCGCTTCGCCTTGGCGAAGACATTGCTCTTCTTCAACGGCGTGATGATGTACCTGGACATCAGAGATGACAAAGCATGACAAGTTGCCACAAGTTCTGGCAAATGCTTACCAAATGTGCTTCAAATGTGCTTCAAATCTTTAAATCTCTTCCCCCAGTTGATAGTTGAAGCATGTTGAACCACCTGGATATTCAACTTCTCTGAAAACTGATGTCCTCTCCCTGCCTCTGAAAAGCAACAAGGAGATCACGCTTGAAGACAATGTCTGCATTAAAGCGCATGAAGAATGCAAAGAACACCTGGGATGGAAATAAACGGAACTTGATGGAAGACTTGGCCTTCTAGGCATTTTGCTCGATTCTAGGGATCGGCTTGACATGTTGGAGAGTGAGAGCATGAAAGATCCTGTCCCTTTTGATGCTTCCCTTGTATCGAATGATGGAGCGAACCAATGCCCAAGCCACAATGGTCAACATCACCACCATCACCATCAATCACCATGATCAGCACCACCCCATGATCAGCAAAAATCTTCAAGGTACCAAACCTTTCCACCAGACCTCCGACTCCCCCCCACTCCGCCCACTCCTTCAGTTCCAAGTGGCCAAGCATCCGAAGGAGCCAATCACGCTGACGATGGCCATGATGATCCTCGGCTTTGCCGAAATCGTATCGTCATGGCATCCCTGCAGAGTCCTCGTAAAGAGCCTGACCGCCAACTTACCAACTCAGCAGATGTTCCTACTATACTTGTGAGTTCATTCGGCCAAGAATCATTCCTACCTTCTGTGCTTCTCCACATTCCGTGCAAAAGCCAGTGCTGGCATCCATGAACCATCCAAACTTGCAGAGGGCACAAGCTACGTCTTCATATTCCTCACCGAGGCCGGAAACTCTGAGCAGAGCTTGCTGGTGGTGACATTCTCAAGACCTTTGTGACCTTTGTGACCTTTTGTCTCTCCCCATCTCCCTGACTGAGGTGGCGTCCCTGCTGCAGACATTGCCAGGAAGACATGCAATGGTTGGAAGGCACCTGCGAAGCATGGCTGTCACTTCTGTTGCAAAAAAAACCCGCCAATTTGGACATGGGAAGCAGCCATAAACAGCTCCCACACAAGGAAACACCAGCCACTCACAGCAACCCACGGCCTTTGAATCACTGGCCGATAGGCATCCAGTCCAGACACCGTTGAGCCGGTTGTCACAGAGCGCCTTGGTAATTGGATGTGAGACAACTTCACCAGGGTCATGGACTTCAGCATGGAAGATACTTGATGATAATGAACATGATTATCTTATTACAAGTAAATATAGCTAATATGACAATAAATGATAACTAACGATAACTAAGGATACTTGATGATGGGTGGTGATGGTGATAAATGATGATGATGATGATGATGATGATGATGATGATGATGATGATCACCAGTTTTTGGCAGTGCCTCCACAATCCTCCACATCTTTCCAGTGCTAGCTCCGGCCTCAAGTGCCAAAAGGTGCGCTTGGCTAAAGGCCACTCCGTACCTCCCGGACAGTAGAGTTTGCCTTGGCTCGGAATGTCTCAGCAAGCGGAACTGAGCAGAGCTTCGCAACTGAGCATAGCATCATTCTGCGTCTTCGTTGCATTACTTGGCATCGCTCTGAACACAAATCACAAACACCTAGCCCACCTAGCAGGGGTAAATGGACACTGTGACGACAGAAGATGACATTCACAAAAGCATACTTTCTTCGACTTCCAATCTGAGCGGGTCAAGGTGCAGATGCGAAGGTCCAGCGAGGTGGCATCAATATTCACCTTGGAGCCGCGTTGTGGTGGTTGTGGTGGTTGTGGTGGTGTGTCAGTGGAACCCGTGGCAGGGTCGCCACCAAAATGGCCAAGATGCACAGAGGTCTTCATCCCGTGCTGTGCAAAGATCACCCACATTGTATCCACTATCCTCAATCCGCAACAGATCAAAAGAACTGAGTCCAAACACGTATCACAAACATCGTTTGTCAAAGTCTTGTTGTGCGGGGTCAAGTGAACAAAGACATGATTCAGCTGGTCTGGGCTAAGTCTCTCCACAGCTTTCATCATCGCTCACTGCTTGCATATAATCCGACTCATGGCAGGCCGTGCAGGGAGTTCCAGGAGTCGTCTTTCCAGTAGTGTCATCATAGTATGGCGAGAAATACCCGGGCAAACCTCAGGGAAGTTGCAGCTCCAGTGACCTGGAAACTCATACTGCAGTCTCTGGAGCTATATATGCTATATGAAAATACCAATGGGCTGACATGGACTGACTCAGTTGACCCAGTTGACTCCGGTTTCACCAGTCGAAGTCACGTTTCCCGTCGCCCAGTGACAGGTGCAGTGCGTCAGATCACTGGCTCCTTGTGGAGAAGTCGTGAACGCAGGACATGAGACACACCTGAGCTGTCCAGCTCCTCAAACTACGCGCAGCGATCATGGATCGTTTTAAAAATTGCCCTATAACTATCACATCAAAACATCAGAAACCCAAATCGCCACGGCATCTTTCGATCATGAATGCACGCCGCTACACACCACTTGAGGCCCAAGGGGGGCGTCAACGAAAGCTAAGGTTCATATGAGCCTGAAAACATGATGGGATTTTGATGGGATTTTGATATGCTGAATAAAGATTGCCTGGCAGGATTTGAGCCCGTGATTATCTGCTTCCAACACCGCTTCAAAATGCCCGGGGAGCTTAAGGGGCAGGGGGGGTTTCGAGTCAAAAATCTTTGTGTTGGACTCAGACCTGCCCCTCCCCTTGCTGAAGCAAGAGTGACTCCAGCTAGCTACCGCCAAGCGACGCGCTTGAGCCTGCGGTGTTTTGGTATGTTCCCACGGCCTGAGACAGGTGAATCGTCATGTGTTTTGAAAGGGAGCATGGCATAGCCGGAGTTTCCACCCAAAACATTACTACCAGAATCTACCAGATACTAGCACAATCTCACTGGTCATCTCAAATGGCTTTCAGCACACTGCAATGCCTGCAATGCCATCAGTTGTGTGTCCCTCCAAGTACACTTCAAACCAAGAGACACAGGGCAAGCATCGCAATGGCCATTCGGTCTGAGGCGGAGCGCAGCAGGGGAGTTACTCGCTGGTTTCATCACACGTGGGGCTGGCCAGGCTGGCCAGGCTGGCCACAGTTTCATCAGTTTCAACACTGCCTGGCTGGTGGTAATCCAAAACCCCGGCTCGCAAGCAACGCATATGGCCACGTAGTCACCTGCGACGAGGTTATGTCGACGAGCTATGGAGTGCTGCTTATGCCAATGTGGAGAACCGAACCAACTGTTGTCAGAGAGACAGAGAGAGAGAGAGAGAGACAACCAGCTAATCTTTTTGAGGTATAAGTTCTGTATGCAAAACATGACGCATGCAATTTAAGTCTTGCTGATCTTAGTCCTTTGCCACTCGCAACTCAGCCGTCCCAGGCACTTTCTCGTCGGTAGCCAGCTTCGCAGGTCATGAGGTTCACTGTGAAGGTCTGGGCGGCCCCGATGAATTTTTGGAGAGATAAAATCAGATAGAATCGAATAAAATGACAATTTTTTGACATGAATGTGCTATAACGTGCTATCTAAAATGTTATCTTCTACTTCTCGGCACTGCCGTTTGAATCAGTTGATTCCCTGGGCAGCCGCGCCAAGCTGGGAAGGGCCCAAATCAAATCTGTCGAGGGATCCACTTCAGAAGCGTAGACGGCGGTCGCACCGTTCAGAGGCGTGTAGAGGCTACCCACCAACTTCCACGTCAAAGTCTGTGTATTGGACAACAAAGCTGGTGGAACTGTGCTCACCTCAGCCAACAAAATGGAACACAATGGAACTCACCAGCAGTTCACAAATAACACACATCAATTAGGAATCAAGTGGTATCTTTATTGTATCTATGGGTACCTATGGGTATTTAATTGGTACTTATTGGTATCTTCAGATTTGTCCGCAGTTTTCAGTCGAGAATGCCCAGAACCTTGGAACATCAAACAGTCGACGCAGTCTATGTCTATCTGCTTGGTGCCAGTCACAGTGTTCGACTGATCACGGACATTGCGGACTGGGCCAACGACAACCTCAGGGCGAGAAATCATGCATAAGTTGTGCATGGCTATGACTAAACGTGGCAGTACCATCAGAGTTCAAATGGTCTGTTCATGCCGAAAATTCACACTCTTGTTGACCCATGAACTTCTTCCAAGTGGCACATAGGATGTAGGTGCTGTTCTGAAAAGTGATGGTGCACGGTGCCGCGAATTCACCAAGGGTAATCTCCGTCGCCGTGGTGTTGCTGACCTAGGCAGGGGTCACTTCCACAGCTTCGATCAATGAGAACATGGGAAAAACGAAGTCAAGGACTCAATGGACTCAATGGAGTCAATGGATGTCGATCCCAACATCAATATGAACCAACTCACAACCAGTTCATAATCCAACTCATACTGAAAGAATCGCCAAAAAAAAGCCGTTTCTGGAGATTTCCAGGTGACAAATTGGATGGATTCTGCGTGGCTGCTCTGGCAACTTTGCTCTGAAAAGTAGAGGCCCCAAAAGCCCAGGTATCGGTTGGCACCCACGTCCTGCGATCGCCGAGAATCTGGTGCTTCAAATCTTTCAAACCCAACAACAAAAACAACAAAAACAACATCCAACATCGATTTAGCATGTTTTAGCACAAAAATCACAACAGATATCAAATAATTAGTAACATCATGTAACATCCTGTTTAGTACCAGCTTAGTACCATAGGCTCTGAGGTTTTGTTTCGAAACCCAAAACCCACCTCCAGGCTGGTGGGGCTGATGCTCTGGATGAGTGGTCGAGGGAAGTTGATCTTTCCCTCCAACTCCGTCAAAGCCAGAAGATCCTGTAGCTTACTGACATGAACAGAGAATCCAAGCTGGATTGGATTCGAAATGAGTTTGTAAAATTTCGCAACACCCAAAATTAATTTGGGATTTCCCGTGAACAGGTGAATCAAGGTCACTTTCGCCACTTTCTGCATTCAAGGGACACCCAAGTAGAGCTTCACATTTGGCGTTCGAGGAAGACATGTGATGTCTAAACACGAACTGGTCTGACAGCGAAGAGCCGTGCTGTTCATCCAAGTTATGCTTTGACCTCAGACTGACATGGTCATTTCATATCTCCTCATGTCATTTCATTTGGCATTTGTTCAATCTTTTCGTATCATTTAATGATTCAACTCTCCCTGTGACTGTTCAACCACATGTCAAAACATTTCAGGGGTGAACAGCATGCCGCAGACCACTGGCATCCACTGGCATCCACTAGCATGCGTTTCCACATGCATCGCATCGAGGGACATAATTCCACAGCATTGCAACCATTGGACACCAACTCCGCCTTATAACCTCAGGAATCAAGCAAAGATGTAGCTGCAGAAAAAACTTTTGAACACCTTCCAGTTTTGAGATTACTTTCTGACCTTTCTGTCGGAAAATAAGAACATCCGAAGTTTTGACCTGAGCCTTTTGATTTTCTCATGATTTCCACTTTACTGACTTTACTCATCTATGGTCATCTCCAATTTCCTTGGAAAAGAAATCGCCCGGCACCTGCAACTGCTGCGCCCTTGAGCTGCAGTGCAGCCGGTGATGGAAGTCCGCTGGCGCTGTCCCAGATGTAGATGTACGCAGGAAAGGTCTCAGTTTTCAGTGTTCACCAAATTTCACCGCGTTTTACCAGATTTGGCAAACCCAAACTCTGCATACTAGTTCGTGGGCTGCACTTGGTAGTTCTTACGTTGTGAGGCAGTTGCCTTGATGAATTCTCTCGACCCGAGTTTTGGTTGTGCCACCGCACTTCATAGAGCGGAATGCAAAAAGGAAATTGAGATTCCTAAGGATTCTTACCAAAACAGAACCTAGCCGGGCCTAGCCAACCGCATGCCCGCGACTCCAATGGACGAGTAGCATTCACGATCATCCCCAGATCCAGAAGACCTCAGGATTGGACGTGGTGGAACCTTAATCTTTCAAACCTTTTGAAATGTTGGTTTCACCTAGGTCAACATCCATGTACACAGTGTACAGCGATTTTCATCTCGCCAACACCAATTCTAAGTCCCAACTGTGGGATTTTGAAATTTCAACCCAATTTTTGGGTTACCAACTTAACAATCGCCTTTTTGATGATGGTGAAACCATTGCTATTCACGAAAGGAGTTCATCCAAGTGGCTGTTTCGCAGTGCATTTGGCACATCGGATGCCATTTCGGTGGGATTAGGACGTGCATAGCCTGACGACATCTGGGATGCCAACTCCATCTTCCATCAAGATGTGAAATGGTAACATAGTTTGTATCCATGGCCAACCAGCAAAATTTCATACAACTTCTTGCAAGTTGGATGAGCACATGGAAAGCTGATGGAACCGATGCAACCCAGCCACTGATGATGTTGGCAAGGCCTGCAGATTGATCTCCAGGGACCTGAAAGTGCCATGGTGCAGCTTTCAACACCATAGGCACATGGCATGGGCCCCATGGGCACTTCCCAGTTGCAAACGAGAATCCAACAGGAACGTGTTCAGCTGCTGGTTGTGTATCTTCAAATAAATGATGATATCCTTGGCAGAAATCCGAGCCAAAGCTTCAGCAAATGACACATACACACACAACGCTGCTTCAAGGTAGTGTGCTACCCAGCTATATTTGTAAGTTTATTTAGGTTAACATTTCCCAATCATTGAACTAGTTCACTGTATTTTCCATATGCCCAACATCTATTGGATCAAGATTCCAACTTTCAACACAACGCAGTTTGGACCTAGCAACAGTGAGTGCTCCGGGACTCAGCGAACATGTTCCGGTGTTCCACGTCTTGTCGAAAGTGGTGGATCCACAGAGATTGTCGGTGTAGCCTCAGCTCTCACGGGCCAATCCGTGTGGTGCATCTGCGTATGGATTTGATGATGATATGTAACAAAAAACATTGCGCCGGCCAGAAACCCCTAACAGTGTGTGTGTGTGAGGACAGCGTATGATACTGTTGAGGATGATGATCGCGATGCTGAGGAGCAGAATGATAATGTTGCGGGCGATGATGTTGAGGATGATGAGGTGCAGGATGATGATGTTGAGGATGATGAGGAGGATGAGGTTGAGGATAATGATGTGGAGGAGGATGAGGATTAGGATGACAATGCGCATTTCGGTTGCGCAGGCTCGCACGAAACGTGCGCCGAACTTCTGGGGCGCGGCATTTTCCTGAGAATTTAGGCATGAAATGGCTCTTGTGACATGCCCATGCACATTTTGACCGCGCAGGCTCGCACAAACTGTGGGAGGCGGTCTTGGGATCGGGCCTCCGCCTCCACATCATCATTCTCAACATCCTCATCTTCCTCCCCCTTGACGTCACCATCCTCAACATTGTCAGCCTCCCCCTCATCTTCTGCAACATTATTATCCTTTTCATCACCCTCTTCCGCATTATCATTATCATCCTGCTCATCAGCATCACTATCGTCATCCTCTTCCACATTATCATCCTCAACATCATCAACTTCCTCCTTCTTAACATCATCATCCTCCAACTCAGCTTTCGCAATTTCATCCTCATCCTCATCCTCCTCCACATCACCTTCCTCAACCTCATCCTCCACCTCATCATCCTCAACATTATCATCCTGCACCTCATCATCCTCAACATCATCGTCCTCAACATTATCATCCTGCTCATCAGCATCACTATAATCATCCTCTTCGACATTTTCATCCTCAACATTATCAACTTCCTCCTGGTCAACATCATCATCCTCCACCTCAGCTTCTGCAGTGTGGACACACTGTTTGGAGAATAATCTATATACATATGTATGTATCTATATACATATGTATATAAATCTGACACCTATGATATCTATGATATCTATGGTATGTATGAATCATGAATTGAGTTACCAGGCAATATATGTCAAACTCTCGCCCCCTGAAGATATCTCATAAACATTTCATTTCGCATGGGTTCCCAGTTAGTCTGACTTGTTGACCCAGTCAAGTCAGGGAGCCATTCTTGATGATGTACATCTGCATGGTGCTGGCTGGTGCGCCAAAGGCATCTGTACCAGCTACATAAGTAGGAACATTGCTGAAAGAAACCTGCGGCTGCGTCTGAAACAGTCAAGCTATGGTTCAAGCTGCAATCACTGAACAAGAATGCGAAACATGGGTAAAATCCATGTGAATCGCCCACCTCCAAGAATTTCCACCCACAAAACATCCGAAAGCAGCTGAAACCAATGACTTCGCATGGCCCTTTTTGTGCCCTAAGTGCCCCGACCGTAACAGTGGTCTGCGCCGTCAAGCTCGCTTCCAAGACATTCACCGAGAAGACCGGTGGCGAAAAGGAAATCCAAATGGGGATCACGAAGATCGCCGAGCGCCACACCAAGATGAAGGGCAGCTGAGTGCCCTGGCCATTGTGCTGCAACTGGTAGGTGGCAATTTGGCCATTGGCTGACAAATAGGTGGAGCTCACCAAGTAGCCACTGGTCACGGACTTCAAATACAATTTCACCTCAGCTTAACACAAACAAGAGAAACCAACGAACCCGAATGCAGTCACGTAAAAACACTTTTATGAAACACATTTTGAACAGTCTTGTGCATTTTACCAATTTTCCCCTGTTACCGTACCAGTGCACTGCAGACAGTGGAATGTGGAGGGGGTGCAAAGTCTGGAGTGTGAAGAAAGTGGGCTGTTGAGTGGGGAATGTAGGGTGTAAAGTGTGAAGTGGGGATTGTGGAGTATGGAGTGCAAAGTGTGAAGTGTCGGGTGGAAAGTGTGAAATGTAGTGTGTGGAGTGCAAGTGTAGAGTGTGGAGTGTAAAGTGTGGAGTGTGAAGTGTAGAGTGTGGGGCGTAAAGTGTAGACTGTGAAGTGTACAGTCTAGAGTTTGGGGCGCGGAGTGTGGAGTGTAAAGTGTAGAGTGTCAAGTGTAAAGTATGGAGTGTGGAGTGTAAAGTGTGGAGTGTGGAGTGTAAAGTGTAGAGTGTGGAGTGTGGAGTGTAAAGTCTAGAGTATGGAGTGTGGCGTGTGGAGTGTAAAGTGTAAAGTGTGGAGTGCGGAGTGTAAAGTGTGAAGTGTACAGTGTACAGTGTGGAGTGTAAAGTGTAGTGTAGAGTGTAAAGTGTGGAGTGTGGACTGTGAAGTGTGGAGTGTGGGGTGTCAAGTGTGAAGTGTGGAGTGTAGCGGGTAAAGTGTGGAGTGTAAAGTGTAAAGTGTGGAGTGTAAAGTGTGGAGTTTGGAGTGTAAAGTGTGGTGTGTGGAGTGTAGAGTGTGGTGTGTGAAGTGTAGAGTGTGGAGTGTCAAGTGTAAAGTGTACAGTGTAAAGTGTGGAGTGTAAAGTGTAAAGTGTAAAGTGTAGTGTAAAGTGTGGAGTTTGGAGTGTGAAGTGTAAAGTGTCGAGTGTAAAGTGTGGAATGTAAAGTGTGGAGAGTAAAGTGTAAAGTTTGAAGTGTGGAGTTGGAAGTGTAAAGTGCAAAGTGTGGAGTGTAGAGTGTGGAGTGCAAAGTGTCAAGGGTGAAGTGTGGAGTAAAGTGTAAAGTGTAAAGTGTAGACTGTGGAGTAGAATGTAGAGTGTGGAGTGCAAAGTGTAGAGTGTAGAGTCTGGAGTGTCATGTGTAAAGTGTAAGGGGAAAGAGCATTCCACACGCGACAGATCTTCACCAAATGCTGCACCTGCCATGCATGCAAAATGACAATGGAGTTCTCCAAAGTGCTGTGCCTGCCACGAAAAATGCAACTCATCTTCTGAAAACGACGCAAAAGTATTGTGCTTGCCACATAAAAACGACTTTCGACACATTATGAAACATGTTGGAATGTCACAAGGTGCCGCGCCTGCCACATGAAACGAAGCTACGCGACGTTTGAAACCTCCAAAAGTGACCACTTTTGCAGAACTCGCCATAGGAACGGCCATAGTGGCCCCATTGCCGACGGTTGCCGGCGGTTGCGGTCGCAGAAGCGGCGTCGAGCGAACACGTCTCCACCCCCAGACCCCCAAAGTAAAACGAGAACCCTTCGCTATGGTTCGGGAAAAAAGAACGAAAATGATAGGATCTGATAATTCAAGTCATGGCCCCTAGAAACAACTTTTGGGACAAATGCCAATCTTTTGACAAAATGCGTAGCAATTGGTTGATCCGCAATCCTTCTGGCAAAATTACCCATAGTGCAGTCTGAACGATCTAATGAATCTAATGCTTGCCATGTGTGGCAACGTTATATTTTTGAATGTTTTTCTCAAACAAATCCATATGACACCGCGCAATCTTCTCTGAGTGGCTTCACTCCAATCAAAGTTGGTCTGTGACACCTGGTCCAAGGTTTCGAGATTTAAGATGATTTGACAAAAACGGATAAGCGCAGCAACAAGTACAACAACTATACACCATGGATGTCAGGTTGGATGTCGGACATGTTCTGTTCTTTCCCTTTGGCCACCTCGCTAGCAAATTCGCAGCACTACACATCTGAAAACCGCTGCATGCGAACATCTCGTTAACACCCACCATCAAAAAATCCGTCCGGATTCTTTTGACCCCAGGGTTATACAATTTGCGGAAAAATTCTGCGGTCAGTTTTTTCGTCACCAAAGGAGACTATCGCAACGCATGGGTGGCACCTTGATCTTGAAATACATCTCTGCCCCCACATCCAACACCAGCCTTGAAGCCGTCAAAACTTTGAAACAACTGTCGCACATGGTGTGCAAAGCTGGAAAAATGTGCCGGAACAAAGCCACACTAAAAAAACTGCTCTTTAAATCTGGAGTGTCAACGCTTTCAAAGCTTTACACAGTTACCGTGGATCTGGAGCTCAAGAATGAAAACAAAGGGTGTGGTGCCTCACGAAGTTGCTTTCCCAACACCACTCTGGAACTATTGGATTCTGTTCCAGGAAACAAAAGGTTTCCTTTACTGTGATTTTTGGAATGGGGGCGTGCATCTGCCCACACAGAGAAAACAATCGAACTGTTAGTTTGATGGTCAAACCGCTGTGGTCATTGGCAAAAATCGGTCCCTTTGATGGTTGAACATTCATGGCAGCAGGGAATTATTCGCGTATTTGATGCGTCTGCGTCCCCATTTTGTTGCCACGACGGCCTGTAATCTGCTCTTGACCCAATGAAGATTTTCTTAAGGTCATGTTTGGATTGGGTATTCAATGGTCATTTTGCGTGGCAGGCGTGAGGTGCAGCGTACCAAAGACCTCCATAAAAAGAAAGTCCGAAACCTGAATCAACATCGGTTTTTGCATTTTTGAATTTCATACTTTGTGGCGCGTGCAACTTTTATTCAAATTCTAACATTTGCTCATGCAACTCTATCGACACTTTGTGCGTGTCAGACCGCTCTCGTTGTGGCACGCTGTGCATGCTGATATCGCTTGCGCAGCGCTCTCGTCACTTTGCGCTTTGGATTGCTCCTCTCGTGGCAAGGTGCTCATTGTGATATTGCTCGGGAAACCTCTCGTCATTTTGCGCGTGTTGGATCGCTCTCGTTGCAGCGCGGTGCCCGTTTTAGGTTGGCTCCCACAGATCCTGGCATAGAGATCTCTACAAAGTTCTTTCATGACGATCTCGTGAGATTCTCTTGCAAGTGCCTGTGTGAAGGCCTTGTAAAGGTTCTTGTCAGGCGCTTTTGTCGGCGGGTGTTTGGGGCCTTTTGCCGGGAAAAAACATGGCTTTTTAACCAGCAATGTATTGGACCCACTGCCACAAACTTCTGCTTGGGAATGGTGACTCAAAACGGCTGAACTTAACGGACGCAATCCAGCTGGGCGGGCACTTCAGAAGAGCTCATGTTCGGCGATGATGTTGGAAAAAACAAAAGATGATTGGCGTAGAAAAAATAGCTTACAAAGTTTGATAGTGGAAATAGACATGTCATGAAGGTGGAAGAGATGATGGTGATGATGATGATGATGATGACGAGAAAGAGGGGGCCCAAGGAAGAGGGCCAAGAGGAGGAACAGGAGGAAGACAAGGGGGAAGAAGAAGAAGAAGAAGAAGAAGGAGAAGGAGAAGGAGAAGGAGAAGGAGAAGGAGAAGGAGAAGGAGAAGGAGAAGGAGAAGGAGGAGGAGAAGGAGAAGGAGAAGGAGAAGGAGAAGGAGAAGGAGGAGGAGGAGGAGAAGGAGAAGGAGGAGGAGAAGGAGGAGGAGGAGGAGAAGGAGAAGGAGAAGGAGAAGGAGAAGGAGGAGGAGAAGGAGAAGGAGAAGGAGAAGGAGAAGGAGAAGGAGAAGGAGGAGGAGGAGGAGAAGGAGAAGGAGGAGGAGAAGGAGGAGGAGGAGGAGAAGAAGAAGAAGGAAGAAGAAGAAGAAGGACGAAGCAGAAGAAGAAGAAGGAAGAAGAAGAAAAAGAAGAAGAAAAATAAGAAGAATAAAGAAAAAGAAAGAAGAAGAAAGAAGAAGAAAGAAGAAGAAGAAGAAAGAAGAAGAAGAAGAAACAGTTGATCGATTGGTTAATTGGGTAACTGCGAATGAATTTAATCATTCAATCGGTTGACTGATGATGGTGGTGATGACGGTGAAGGACGCGGGTGACGATTGTAAATGGTGATGGTGATGACGATTATGACCATGATGACGATGGTGGCAGCCATGATGCCTCCACCGTAACGCACAACGTGGAGCTATTTTGCCGAATTGATTCATACGCCACCATCAAGGTTGTTGGGAAGATATATTCATATATGATGCGACATCATGGTGAGCCACAAACAAAAGATCCCACACAAGGAGGAGGAAAAGAAACAACCCACATGCAGGTCATAATAAACATACATCTCATCAAATGGTCAAATGCAACAGCTCAGGCCTCAGGCCCGCTCGGGCTGGGGCTGGCAAAAGGCCCCAGGGGGGAATTAAGCCTGTGACCATGAAGTTACGACAGCAGGGGAGAGGGGAAAGGGAAGGAGGGGCACAACTGTGAAAGTTTCATCGCTTGGAGAATCCTCCCTGTGCAGCTTTTGACGCTTTTGACTGCTTACGGTTTACATCTTATGGCATCCGGCCGCCCATCCCCTGCCACCGGATGGCTCTTCGTAGCCCGTGGGTAATGCATCTCCGGTGCTCCCATACATTGGTGCCACAGAGCTTAGACCACCTGAAGGGCCACACATCCCATGTGTGTCGAGCAGGGGAATCCCAATATTCGACAGGGACTTGCTCCCAGCAATCAACAAAATCGTGGCAATCACTGCAAATTCTGGAAATAAGCAACTTTCCCCACAACAGGTAATCAAAATTCATCAAATACCAGTAGTACCGCACAAGGCGGTGGCGGAAGTTTCAAAAATAGGAAACCTATAGGGGAGGTTGGTTGTTGCGAATCACGGATGGCAGAGCAAAGCCACTGATGGACCGACAGGTAGTTGGAGCCGTTTTTTTTTGCAATGGTTCCAATGGTTGCAGTGGCCACCTCACCACAACTCCTGGATGTAGTGTGGTGTACTGCAGTTGTAGTTGTAGTCGTAGGTGTAGTTGCAGTGGTAGTGTAATGGAGTTGTAGTTGGAAGTTGTAGTTGTAATGTAGTGTAATTAGTGTAGTATAGTTGCAGTTGCAGTTGTAGTAGTGGTGTGGCGTAATTACTGTAGTGTATTGTAGTCTACTGTAGTGTTGCGTACTGTAGCGTGGTATAGTGTAGTGTAGTCTAGTGTTGTCTAGTGTATTGTAGCCTACTGTAGTGTAGTTGTAGTTGTAGTGTAGTGTCGTGCAATGTAGTGGTAGAAGCAGTTGTAGTGTAATGTAGTGTAATTAGTGTAGTGTAGTGTAATGTAGTGTAGATGTAGTTGTATGTGCGTAATGTACCGCCGTTTAATTAGTGTCTTGTAGTGTAATGTAGTGTAGCTGTAATTGTAATTGTAGTTGTAGCTGTGGTGGTGGTGGTGATCGTCGTCGTAGTAGTAGTTGTTGTAGTTGTAGTTGTAGTGTAATTAGTGTAGTGTAGTGTAATTAGGTGTAATTAGATGTAATTAGATGTAGTTAGTGTAGTGTAGTGTAATTGGTGTTGTGTAATGTAGCATAGTATATTTGTACTTGTAGTTGTAGCAGTAGTGTAGTGTAGTGGTACTTGTAGTTGCAGTTGTCTATCTATCTATGTCTATCTGCAAGCTTGAAAACGAAGCTATTCTGCGAGACTTCCTCAGTCTCTGAACTTGGCAACATCAAAAACGAAACAATTCTGCGAGACTTCCTCAATTTTTGAACTTGACAACATCAAAAAGAAAACAAGTCTGCGAGACTTCCTCAGTTTTCGAAGTTGACAACAACAAAAACGAAACAATTCTGCGAGACTTCCTTCAAAAATGGAAAGTTGAGTGCAGAGCTGATGGCCTCGTACCAATGCGTTTTGCGTTTTTTCCACTCCAGCTGTCTAAAGTACTGCGCTTGCCAGGAAAAAGTGATGCCAGGTCATACGAAGTGCTGCACCTGTCACGCAAAATCATCTTCCCAAAACTGAAGATCTGATGCTCCAAAATGTACCCCCTTTCAGGAAATCAGCGCCCTGACCTCCTAACATCTCTGATGAGCATGTCTCTTTCTTGTACAGCGCCTGCCACGCGAAATGCATCTTTCCGGATCCTCTTCAAATGTTCCACGCCTGCCATCGTTTTTGAAACTGCTACAAAACCCTCACATTTTGCTCACTCTTGACAAGGTGCACAATCCCTTGCACCTGCCACGCGACATGACATCTGAATGTCAAAAGTGGTCCGAGCATGTGGTGTTTGTAACATTTTGATTTCGACATGTGCTTCGCGCAGCAACGGCGTGCACTTTTTCGACATCCCAACTTCCAAAAGTGCCCTGAACCCGTCAGTTTTTTACACTTTTGACTTGGAAATATGCTTCGCGCCACAACGGCGTGCACTTTTCCGACATCGCAACTTCTACAAGTGCTCCGAAGCTGATGTGTTTTGTGCATTTTTACTTCGAAATGTGCTTCGTGCCACAACGGCGTGCAATTTCTCGACATCGCAACTTCGAAAAGTGCTCCGAAGCTGGGGTGTTTTTAGCTTTTTCACTTGCAAATGTGCTTCGCGCCACAACGGCGTGCAATTTTTCATCTCTCATCTAGCCAGCTGGCTCCGCACCCGCCGCTTTAGCGAGCCTACTTTTCGACCCTCCGGAGCCACAAATCATTGGAAAAACACAGTGTTTCGCGACTTTCCTACCTTTTCGTGCACCTGGATCTTCTTTCTTCGGACACTTTCTCTTCTCTGATCTTCTCTCTTCTTCTCTTCTCTTCTCTTCTCTGACTCTTCCCACCTCTGCTTTTCATCTGTCCATATTGTCGGAAGTTTGACTTCTAAACTTCCTTCGGTAATTAATTGATTGTGGTCGCCGGTTGTAAGACTTTTGCCCCACAGCTGGACACCGAGGCACTAATCATCTCATAGACCTTGGAAGAGCTAGCGAAGACTTCTTCAAAGGTGAACCCGATATCCACCACGGTGACCAAGACCTGGTACCAGCGATAATTATAACACCGTGGTCATTTATCAGCGTCACACACACAGGCCTGATAGTTCTGCAGATTGGTGACAAGGGTGTTTCCTTGCCTGATGCTGGTTGAGACACTCGAGACTGAAGCTACATTGTTACAATGCCAAGAGTGTGCGGCAAGTGTCCCAGCAGAAACATGTTTTAACACAGTTTTCTGATATTCTTTTCCTGCAAATGCTTGGTCTCCTAAGATCCTACTGCATTTTCGATCCCCAGCCAAGTTGCAAATATGACAGGGACTGCACAGCAAACTTCAAATATGAAGTCACGATGGCACTCTCCTAGTTGCACTGTGCAATCAGTGCCATGCCAAAAATTCACTGTGTTCAGTCATGTTCAGTCGGCATCCCAGTGGCTTCACCACAAGTTAGGTCCCAATACGAGGCAATCACTCAAACGAAGTTAAAAAATCTTCTCCACATGACTCAAGCTTCAGTTGCATCGGCTGGCTTCGTGTAGGTGACGGTGTGATTTGGCCCTACTTCCCAATTCACGTAGGCGTTCTCGCTCACCTGAAATTTCAATCGGAGCTCCATGTTTCATGGATTACTGTAGGCTAATGGTTGCACAGCAACCTGAATGTAGCAAGGATAAAGATAAAAATATAAAATGTCGTTGCAAGTACTCAAAAGGCCAAGTATGTCAAACCTGTTGAAACATGTCATGAAGAGAATGGCACCAACGGAAGGGTTAGCATGGCACCACAGCAGCTGCAGCGACACCCTCCAAACCTCGCTGAGTCACTTGTCCAAGAACATTAAGACGTCTTAAGACGTATCAAATATCGATATCTGCAAAATCATCCCAGATATTGCGACAGTCATTTGCTTTTTTCCAACATTCGGGGACCCCAAAGCCATTGGTTTCTCCAGATTACGGATCACAAGATTTGGGTTTCTTTTTAGGTTGACAGCCTGGGCTAATTTTGCGGTGGCGCTGTCGAAACCGTGCCCTCAAAGATGAAATTCACACTCTCAGACAGCTGCAAACTCACACCTGGCGCCGTGCACTTCAAGACTGACACAAGCAAAGGATTGCACAGGACAATGAATTGAATCAAGAAGCTGAATATTGTCAATATTGTAACCATTCGTCAGGACATTTTTTGGAACCCTCCAATGGAGCAGCCGCAGCCTGGTTGACAGGCTGCAATCCACTCATCGATCTGGGCAGTGTATCCCAACTCAAATTCACCTCAGGTGCAGTGCTTTGTCCAAATCCAACCTCCTGTGCTGCTATCTTTGCTCAACTTTCCCAACTTCATGAACCTTGAACCTTCATGATGGTTCATAATTTATAATGGTTCACGACTCACGCGTCTCATGCTGCTAAGTTTCTTGTCTTCATTTCAGCCTGATAAGTTTGTTTGATGGAACCATCTGTGCACACCGCATAGACCGTGAGCATAAACTTGGAGATCCCGCTCTCTGTGTCCTTGGACATCTTGGACTTAGTATTTTGTTGCGTGATGTTGCGTGATGTTGTGTACGTATCGTATGTGATCGTATTACTTTTGTTTCCGTTCTTCACAGCATTTCATCACTTTGATCATCGTGATCCTCATCTCACTCATGACATCTCATGACCCTGCCGGAACGTCTTGTGCGAGCATCTTCCGACGTGGTGACTGTTTGCGCACTGCTCCAGGTGGTTGCGATATCCACCTCGGATTCGGATATCTCGGATCCACATCGGCTTTCCTGGTCTTGGTGTTGCCAGCTCTTACCCCGTTTTCGGTGTTGCCAAGTGACCGTTGGCACCCAGAACTTTCCGGGGATCCACCCAGAACACGTCACGAAGTACTGCACATCTCAGCATGGGCTCAAATATGATCAAAGATGATGCGCAAAGAGTTGCAACAAGTTGATGGTATTTCATTTTATTTTCATGGTATTTCGATATTCTGAAGAATTGTATGCTGGCTATGGATCAGCTTTGAAGCTGGTAAGCATGAAGAGAATAGGATGGGATGCTCAGCTCAGTCTGAACATCTGTTCCGCCAAAAAACTCGGATAGAGGTCGCTAATGGTAAAACTCATAGGTTCATCGAGCTCCTCCAAAGGGTGTCGCTGTGGGAAGCTCAAACGTGGAGGATTTTCATGGATTTTCCCAGAGATCCTGCCTTTACATTGCTTACATCCCAAAGGATTAATTGCATCAACTTAAGCGGCACATACCAGCACAACTCAGTAACTCCGCTCCTGAATCATGTCGCTGGTCGAATTCCGCGATTCACCTTAGGTGGCTTAGGTTCGGGTTTGAGGGCCAGATTAAATCTGCGAAATGCCAAGATGGCCAAGTGACACCTCCTGGATGCGGTTGGGGACAGCTGTTGGGTAACTTGTGCCGTTGCACAAGTTGTTGCATCTTTGGGCGCGGCTGTGCAGTTCATCTGGGTCCTGGAGCTGGAGCTGCTGGGGTTAGAGATGGCAAAAAGAAGCTGCACTGGTGAATTTGCAGCTCTTTGATCTCCTCCTGTCGTACATGATGGTATACCTGAGTGCTGGAAGATCTTCGTTTCACCGGCGACCCAGGTTCTTAGTCTTCTTTAAAAGGAGGAAAACGATGCCAAGCCCTGAAACAAAGTGTATTTAGTTGGCCCTCACATTGTTCACGTTTGGTGACCAGGTAAAATACCAAGTTGCGAAATGGACGTGGAGGTTGTTCCCGTGTCCTTGACAAGGGGAAGCCGGGATTCACAGGGTTGCTGGTTCATTGGCCATCCCCATCGAACATCCATTGAAAAGAGTCCCACCAGGTTGCAAGTCGAATTGCCCTTTGCGGGATAAGTGCACTTTCTCTGCCACCGTTGCAAAATACACCAAAACAGCGTATTGTGGCAAGCGTCGTTGCGGATGATGGATGACAGTGTCGGTGGCACTTCGATGTAGGTGAAATTGAACCAAAATGCCACTAATTCTTTGATGGTGCCGGTGGTGTCTGGATAGATGCTTGCCTAGCAAGTACAGCCATAAGCGCAGGCATTAAGAGATCAATCAAAAGCCTCTTCTCTTAGCCACAACAAACCGCGCCATCCCTGTCACTAGTTCCAACCTGCGCAACCCATGACCGGGCCTGCTGGAACGAGACATTGTAAACGCAACTGCCGGACCAATACGCGGTGGGAGGTGTAATGATCAGAATTCGAGAGCCTCAGAAGCAAACAGAGGCTCCAGCCTGGATCCAGCCTGGCTCCAGCCTGTTCACTGCTTGTTTTTAAACGTGTTCAGCTGTGTGGGTGCGTGTCCAGCCTGCGATCTCCATGCCGGACTGACCGTCCAACGAGACCTTTGAGATTTCGGAGGTCGTCTTGGTGTAGTTGTAGGTGCCATCAGCCGAAGCCAAGCAGTTCTCGCCAGACCTGAGCTATGCTGACCAGGTAAAGCAGGTCCCTGCAGAAGATGTCAACAACCAAGCACAGTGCCCGGGTGTGGACGTGCTGGTGAAGCTCGTAGCATCTTGCGTGCATTCTGCAACCTTTGATTGAGTTAGTGACGGGTAGATGCCATTCACCATCAGATTTCAACTGTTTTCAATGTCCAAACTCATCAGATCTTTCAAATCATCAGAGTTTGAACATTCCAACATATATATAACACATGATACACATGTTTTATCGAAATCGCATGCCCAAAATCCTTCAAGCCTTATCACAACCACTGGCCGTCACTGGCCGAAAGGCTTCACCAGTTCCACTGTTCGACCGACCATGCCCGGCACCACGGCTTGGTCGAAGGCCACCATGATGCTGCCCGGGGAGTCATAGACATCGTCATTGGGCAAGGTGAAGATGGTCCTGGAGCAGCCAAATGATCCAACAAATGATCCAACAATTTGACAATGTCCAACATATCATGTAAATTCATGTAACATATCCGACATATCCATATCGTTACATATCCAGGTGATATCCATGTCCAACAGTCCAACAAACCTAACACCGTAGGTCACCAGTCACCTGGCATGATTTTATAGTAGGCTTAAGTAGTTACACCGATTTCAGGGTATTGCAAGTGAACAGGGAAACACACAGGCATGTCGCCAAATGACCTCATTTAGCTATTGAACCATAGTAAACCATCTCTACAACCCTCACATCAAATAGATTGAAACAGGACTTGCGAGTCCCAGTGAGTTAGGAGTTGTTAGGTGCTACGGCCTAGCGTGGAAGGACATGTAAAAATGTTAGGAAGGGCTGTTGGTCAAAAGTGCATGGCTTTGGGTGTCAGAGCAACTTTTTATTTGCGTTCCATGTCATATGGTTCCTCCTTTGGATAGGTAGTTTGTCCTCTCCTGTGGATAGGTAGTCGGAACCCAAAAAATCTGACAAATCGGCCCAAGCAACATGATAGGACACTGACAAAAGGATTCAGGACATTTAATTGATTTAATTATATAGTGTTTCCATTGGAAAGGTGGAACCTTTCTTCCTGCTTGCAATTTCAAAATTAAACAACCACTCATGACGTAGGACTTCTTCCGCATTGCGTCCCGGATGACCAAAACACATGAGATAGGATGTGGAACTTTTGAAGTCCTGGCGACAGGTCCTACAAGCATCTCAACTCATAGAATTTGAGGGCAAATCATTTGGAACCTTCAAATGTTTGACATATTCAGCACATTTCAGCACACCACACTGCACCACACTGCACCACAGATACCGCAGCCAAGTGTCACTGGCGGTGTCAGTGTTTTCGTGGTGATCTCCTCTGAGTATTGCCAGCCCTTAGCGGCTTAGCGCTGCAAGGTGAGCAAAGGATTCAGATGGATTCAGTGTCCTAATTCCGCCCCCATTCCCTCCCCATGTCTCGTTGTGAGGTGACATTCGAGGTGACACCCTGACATATCCAGCCTGTATGACCTGTACTAGCACCGCTAGTATAACACAAAAGGTGACGTCTCAAATCAAAGCTTCTCCATTGAGATCCGTGTTGCTGCATTCCTGGCGACAGTTCACTCTGGTCGAAATGGTTTCCAACTGCACTGAACCCAACCTCTGGTCCTTGCAGAACCTGCAGTTCCCGGCCGTTCCCGGCCGTTCCCGGCCTCTCGAACACGGAACTTGTAGCCGCTTCCCTCGGCCAAGGTGTTGGCTGTGCAGGACAAAATGCTGGTCCTCGCACTGAAGAAAAGTGCTCAAACCTTTTCCTTTCGTGCAAATCAGATGGGGTGCAAGTATAAGAAGTGTAAAAGTATAGCAAGTAAAGCAGAAGCAAGCCAATCTCTTCCCTTGTTGTGGATCCGAACAGTTTCGAAAGGTTTACAGCAAGCCAAACCTCAGCGGATGTCCTTGAAGCGGCCGTCAGGGCTGTGGTTCCGCAATTCGGATTCCTTGTTTCGCAGCTGTGGCCGCATATGATCCAAGCGTGTTATCAAAGCCAAAAAAGGTTCCAAATGATTGAAATGGTACCAATTTGCCATGTGGCACATCTTCATGTGCCGTAGTTGTTGACAGAAGAACTCGTGATGTTGAATTTGAACCAGGAAATTCCCATGAAATCGATTAACGGTTATCAAGTCTATCTATGCTCACAGTTTTCAACCAGGCAGCGCTTGATAGTCCGCCCAAGCGGTCTCACCAGTGTTTGAGGTGACGAGGATGTACTCTAAGGCCCAGTTGGTAAATCCACCTCAAGCCGAAAGAAACTCATCGTCACAATCCGTTTTTGGCTATTCAATTCATCCTTGAGGCAAAGTTGCAACTCTTTCATCACGTTTTCAATATTTTTCCAAGAAAATTTCCAATACTTAGTTTTGAATCCATAATTTTCCATGCAGCTTGAGCTTTGGCCACCAAGGCACAATCGGATGGGTTTCCAGCGGCCCAAGTCACAACAATGGCATCCACATCGCGTGACTCGGAGCGAATCCAAAGCTTTGGGATGACTGCGGATGTTTTATGATGTTTTACCATGTTTTACCATTGAATGTGGCTTCTGCATTGCTTCTGCGGATAGTTTGGCAAACGATTGGGAACTTCATGAAAACCAAACCCTGAATGAAACAATCCTTTCAGGAAGACCACAGTTCGAATGTTGAAACTCATGTCCATGAGGGGCATCCACAATGTACCCTTTTCATTGGATCTCTAAATTGCCAACAGTTAAGGAAGTGTATATATTTTGATTGGATATCTGTACAAATAAGAAGACCAATTTTGCTTTCAATCCACCTTGAAACAAGTTGGCCGTGTCTACTTGTCTTCGGAGCCATTGGGATAACAGAAGAAACTTGCTAAGCTGCTCCTTCCGAGTGTTTTTGTGGACGCGCAAAAGTCGTGAAGTTTCCCATGAACATCGGTGACATGCATAAATTCTACAGGCTCAATTGAAGTTTTCATGATTATCACCACATTCTACCATTTTTGCTCAAAGTCTTGTTGTGTTACGACGTTTCCACTAAGTCACAACCAGAACCATCCAATACACATCGCACCAGGCGGCTGAGTAGGTCACATACTGCGGCACATAAGCCACTTCGTTGCAGGTGTAGGTCACCGGTGTGAAGTTCCCCCGGTCACAGGCCAGGGATGTCACGTCGGCAATGAAGCTGGTGCCGACTGCTGTCCTTGGCGATGGCCATGTTTCGCCATGGTTTACAAAAGGATGGGAAGAAAAACCGGTCTGGAATAGGTGTCACACTCCGATCATAAGGCCTAGGCGGCCTTCCCCTCAGCAACTGAGAACGGATTTCATCAAGAATAAAACTTCAAAATCCATCAATCAAACCATCCGCTAACCACCCCCAATTGGGCTGGGTCACTTGCAGTTGGGCGTACAGGTGGCACCGGACACAATGGTATCTCCCTCCACACATCCGGGAACATCCGAGCCATCCTCGATTCACTTGAAGCGCTCCAAAAACGAGGCATGGCTGCCCAGAACATCTTGACATCTTGAATCTTTCAGAAGATCTACCTCTTTATCATATTTCAACAATTTTCAACCTTTGGATTTGGACAATGGACACCTAGCCAAAACAGATTCGAAACAAACCGGCTTGAAGCCAAGCTGCGGAGGATTCCGCGAGGTTCTTGATGGAGCCCTTTACAGTGGAGATGTCACATTGGGAGTCACCGCAAATGAAGGTCCCTTTATCCCAGTCCTTGCTGCGGGGAGCTGTGGCTCATTTCGGCTCATTTCTCCATGCTGAGCACAAACGGTACAAGGTGAGGAGCGACATGCACAGACTGTGTCCAGTTCATTTTTTGGCATATTTTCATACCAGTCATACCAACTTGCAAGTGAAGCTCTGGAAGCAAAGGGGCACCAAGAATGCTGATCGGGGGCCTAGCTCTTACTTATCCTTTGCAACTCCATCCAAACTCAAGACAAACCAGGTTGCTTGGCAGCTTGAGACTTATGTGAAACAATGGGAATCATGAGACTCACCATGTCGTGTTCGTTGGCGATATCTCTACGACAAAGAGATGTCTCTCATCTATTGGCTCTATCCGATTCTATCCCCTTTGTGAACCCAATTTTTTTTGGTCCCAACGATCCCAACGATCCCAACCCGCACCAGGCATCCGATTGATAATCTGAATCACTTGTGGTAGTGCAAGTCATCAATGAAACTCAGGGCAGAAGTGGCAGAAGCTCCAACAATGATGAGAGGAAGGCACAGAAATTTGCACAACATCTGATCTGGTGGATAGTGCCAAGGGGCGTGACCTGGTATAACCATCTTTGCAAACTGGTGTGCAAGTGGACCCGTGAGCAAATGGTCCACTGCCCTCTGAACATGGGGTGTCAGCCGAATTATTGATACCTGCCGCAAGTCTCATGAACATGAACTTGGCGATGGAAAGCAACACAAAGCACATCGCACAGAACTTTCTCTTTTGAAACAAAGCCCGAAAGCTTTGAGTGATGAGTGGCACCGAGTGGCACCGAGTGGCACCGGGGCACCTGAAGGTACTGCGCAATTGGCTTTCACGGTGACGGTCCGATTTCCCAAGGTGGTCTGTCCGATTTGGTCCTGGCTTGAAAAGCTTGGGGCCGAACACATCTTTTGCAAACCGAGATGTGCAAGATGTCATTGTTGCAATACGTTGCAATTGTAATATCCAAGTCCAGGCTCTATTTCCCTTCCGACCCCGAACTGCAGCAAGTTCTGATGATACTGAAGCTCAACAATGTTCAACAACTATGTGTAATTATACTAGTATATGTGTATCTATTTGTCGCAATCCATGTAGGTATTTCCCACCGCTTTTTCCCAGCTCTCCGTGCAGCTGTATTGGAAGAAGTACTCCCCGGCGACGTTGTTGTCGAATTCGGTGACGGTGACAGGATTAGGAGGATAAGGATCCTCGTAGTCCGTGCAAGTCACAGCTCCTGCAAGATGTACACAGAAGGACATCCGAAAAAAATGAAAAAACAACACATCTCAATACTTGGAATGAAAAGCAATTGCATACCACGAGGCACTGTGATTGTGACATACTGTGACTGTGGGCTCAGGTCAAAGAGAACTGTCTGCGACAGGCATCAAAGAGACAGTCGAAGCCACGGTTGCCAAAGAAGTCCATGTAACACGTCACCGCTTATCTGAAATGTCAGCCTTCGACTTCATGCTTTTCTTTTAGGTGCCATTTCAAATGCTATTTCCCTTCACCCGTCTTGATCGCCTTCTACATAGGCAACACCGATGTTCACAGTGCGATCCGATGCCGTCACAAAGATCTTGGGATAGTGGTTGATGCGCTGACAGTAGCCAACCTTTGCCATTGATCAAACTTGGGGTACTGCATCACACTGGAGCCACACAGCTCATTTAGTATAAAACCATGCTTAACTTACTTAACCATTCCATAGTGAGGGTCAAACGTTTTGAGCCATAGCCAACTATTGATATTGCTACTGTTGCTGCGATTTTCATCTCCCCACCTGCCGCAGTGTGTTGGTATCTTCGGAATAGACGCCATCGCAGCCGGACCAGGTGGTACAGTTTCCTCCATCCGCAGTATTCGTGCTGAATCCCAAGAACTCATAGGTCTCACCTGAGCTCAATCGATGAGCCTGCCATGGTCCTGCTGGTTATCCATCCCATAATGGGAATCCTTCCAATGGTTATGTAAATCCCTGTGAATGGATTGATGACCATCCTTTAATATTTATATGTATATATATACACATATATATTAAATATATATATATATGTATATAAAATAAATATAATATATATATAATTCAGCTTGTGACTATGGCACAGATGATAATTGTAGAACTGAAGTAGCTAGACAATACTGCGATGCTCTTCACTGAAAAAGATTTCATGTTCTGCTTCCATCTTCCTCATCTTCCCCATCTTCCCCATCTTCCAGCGATTTTCGGTGCCTCGGGTGCCTCGGGTGCCTGGGGTGCCTCGCGGCCGAGTGGCAAGCATTGTCGGCAGTGCAGATTTTCAAACACGCCAAGTAGTCATTGACTTTCGCAGGTCCTGGCAGCGCCACCATGGCCATCCACGGCTATCCCCGGCCATCCCCGCCCTCGCTGCCGGTCCTGACTGCACGGTCTCGCAGGTCACAATGTTGCCACCATAAATACCTCGGGAGCCCACTGTTAATGGGCTGTCAATGGGTTTATGAAATTCCATAATGCTAGGCAGCACTTGACGAAAATGGTTGAAGCTCAGTTTGTAATGCCCAGTCTTTTCAATATGAACATGGCCAACACCCAAGCATGTCTGGCCGTATTAAGTAGACCTGCATGGAAGGGTAGCAAACAGATGGTGATCAAGAGATATCAATATTAATGGATATTAATATTATTAATAGTATCTCTATCGGCAGTAGAAACCAGTTGAGTGAACTTTAGCTTCAAAAAGGGTGGAGGATGTGGTCCGGATTTCCCAGAAAGGCGGCTGTTTTGTTCCTTGCATATTCCTTGCATCAAGGTGCCAGATGGATTGGGTCCTTCGCAACCCACTTCGACAACCCGGGACGTTCCAACTGACAATCCGCTCGAATCGGTACAAAGGTAGTACCTGAAAGCCACGGGGATCTCACAGTTGGATACTGAAGTGTCTTGTTGTGTCTTGTGAGCATTTTTTGGCAGTGCCATAGCAGTTTCATAACAGCTCCATAGCAGTTCCTTCAACATCTGCCAGATCTGCCAGTGCTTCTCTGTTTGCTCATCCTCATGCAGCTCGGGTGCACTCGGAAGAATCCAATCTGATCAGGATTGACCTCGTTTCCGACTCGTTTCCCGCTCTACGCTGCCCAACTGGGTCCAACTGGGCCCAACTCCCAAGTGACATGTTGCTGTGACTCGCTCCAATCTGGGACATAAACATCTTGAGCTAAGTTGCATTATCCACCGTTGTCACAGCAGCCAAGCATGTTGGAGGGCCCGATGTCGTTCCTGCAAAGACAGATCTTCCCCGCTCAGCCAGTGGAACAGCATCACACAGTTGCAATGCTCCTGATTCTGAAGCTGCTGCAGCCAAGGAATCGTGCAATTTGCCTTGACAACCGAGGAATCACAAGTTTGAAAAAAAAAGAACAAACATAAGTGACATGTGGAAAATAAGTTGAACACATCTTTTACAAACCCGTGTGGTTATGTTTTCCAACCCTGTCTCGCACTCACAGTTTCAAGGATTCCACCCCAACAAATTCTACGAGGCAAAATTTGTTGCGAGGCAAGTGACAGTTGTTCGTGTTTGATAACGGGTAATATGAAAAATGTGCACACCCTCCCGTAGTGCGACAACGTAGCTGACAGTCCTACCAGGAAGCTGATACAAAACAGCCGAAAAACATGGAGTGGCAGCAATAAGAGTAGCAAACCGTTGCCAAACTCAGCGGAAGTTCCTTCAAAAAAATCTGCAAAAACCATCAATGATCCAATGTTTCATCACTCATGATGATATGATGATGATATGATGATGATATGATGATAATATGCCAATGTTACCCTCTGGTAAACTAACATAACTATGGAAAATCACCATTTTTAGTGGGAAAATCCACTATAAATGGCCATTTTCAATAGCTATGTTAAATTACCAGAGGGTATTCACAGTATAACGGAATGGAGAGCATCGAAAAAGGTCCTCGGCACTGGACTCGGTGAGAGTTCCATCTGTCATCACCGTGGAATAACTCATGCCGCTCACTCCTATCGCGACAGCTACGGCAGCATACGGCAGCTACACATCGACGCATCAAAAAGTTGGATCCGTATGGCTCCTGAAGCGAAACAGCTGCTGGCTGAAGAATCGCTGGCCTGGGAATTTGAGTTTGGGAGCCACAAAACAATTTGGATGAACATTTTGGACTTGGTGAATTTTGCTATTTTTGATCCATTTCCTATGGGTCGAGGGAGTCGAGGTAGAACAATTTTGCCCAAAATCGACGAATTTGGAGGCATCCGGCGCCAAGGCACTTGACACTTGCGTGGCCCACCGGTGGCGGAGCAATCCGTTGCACAGGTGTACAACCCATTGGTGGCCTCAGTGGCCAGATGTTGCTGATATATCAAACCCATGGCCCAGTTCAAAAAGGTTGTATCCCAAAAAGCACTGAACCATAGACCTTGATGATGGATAACTTGATATAACTTGATTTCTCGCTTCTGGTGGAGCCACATATTGCAGTTAGGGCAATGGTTTAGCGATGCATTCTTTACTGCCAGGTGGCTGTCTCGCACATGATGGGCAAGTTGTAGGGACAACGGTAGAGACCTATCGGAGGGGGCGCCATCAGCACCATCTGAGTGTTACTAATGGGAGTGACTATGAGGAGACATATCAAACAAAATCAAAGAAACATGTGACGTAGCATGGTTGAAACAACAGGCTTTTGGGGTCGCTCATTTTGGGACATTTCTACATCCAACAGTCGTGAAGCTGCAAGGGTTTGATTTGCGAGCCCAATCTTGCGCCTCCATTGTTGGAACAGCAGTCTGAATCGCAAAGAGTTCCATCTCCTTGGAAGACAGGCACTGAATCAATGTGAAATCCAGAGGAAAAATCACCCAAGTCTTGTTTTTGAGCTGCCAGCTTGTCAATCTTTACACTTCCAGTAGTTCAAACAGCTTCATTAAATTTCTCCATGAACTAAACAGCAAAAGAACTCCTTTGGCACCTGAAATAACAAGTTTGGGCTCACAGCTGCCGAAATCTAACAGTGCAGGCCTGCAACATCTGCAGCCATTTCAGCCCAGGGACGGCACTCGTATTTCCCTGAACGTTGACTGAAACCGAAACGCCAAGAGCAGCCTTAAAGTGGCAGTGGTCACAGAACTCCTACCATTGCCACATTGGGAGAAATTATACCCTCTGGTAATTTAACATAGCTATTGAAAATGGCTATTTATAGTGGATTTTCCCATTAAAAATGGTGATTTTCCATAGTTATGTTAGTTTACCAGAGGTTACCCATTGGGATCCCATTGGGATCTCCTAAAGCCTGGTGCTGGGTGACTCTCTGCCGGATCAGGTCGTACCAAGGGCTGCTGACACTTCAAGGAGGTGCCACTTTCTGCTGTCATCACCAAGGCCTTGCAGGGACTGCATGCTTCGTGCAAAGCTACACAATTCCATCGGTCCAAGCTGATATTGATGACATTGCAACACAACAGTCACCATTAAAACGTATTAGAAGCATGTAAATTAGCAATTACTATCAATTACCATTAGATCATGAGGATCGACCCATACGTCCTTCATACGTCCTTCATACGTCCTTCATACGTCCTTCATACGTCCTTCATACGTCCTTCATACGCTCTTTCAGTTTGGTGAGATTCTGCTTGTGAAAGCTTGGCCAAGGCGCCCCTGCTGGCAGAGTGGCCGCGGTATAAGCGTAGGCCACTGCTCCCGTAGAGATGGAAAGTACCTTGGCACATGATGCAAATGGGCAAACATTGGGGGTGGCATCTCATGTGCTTTGGAGCGCCCAAACGAAAAGAAGCACTTGAACATATTTGAACTCAGTGTGTTGCACGAAAAGCTTTGAACCTTGAGGGAGCAAGGGAAAAACTACCCATAGAGTGGTTGTAGCATCTATTCGAATTAATTCTCCAAAAATCTAAAGGAACTCCTGATTCATCAGCGGCAATCGAGGCACCCATCGATGTGCAGTGGGATCGTAGGTGAAGCTGGCTGTCTCTTTTCCAGTTTCAACTGCGTAAACATCCTGGCAATCGCCAACCGACGCCAACAGAAGATCAACCAAAAGGGTTTACCATCTCCAGTAGCTCCTCTTGAGGGTAGTGATAGACCGGGAAACCGCCCTGGTTGCCGTTCAGGATGAAGTTTCCTGCGATTTGATCCAAAACATGACCAGCAATGTGCATCCAGTCAACTCAAGAATTGAAGCCTAAGCAGATCCATGTTGTGTGCCATTTACTGATATACAATGATATGCGATGATATACAATGATATACAATGATATGTATGAGATACTGACATGCTGATGACATCTGATAGTTCTTTATTTACTGAGAACAAAACACATCAAAAAACTACATGATATCCTGAGATGCTACATATTACGATCAAGATATCATGGCCCCAGTTCCGTTCCTGCGACACTGGCACCAGAACACCCAGAGTTGATGTAGAAGGTTTTTGGTAGCCGCGGTGCTAGACCCCCGCGGACCTGGGCATAGTGGGAGAAACATGGTAAAATCATGTAAAATCTAATGACTTCTTTTGTTAATACCCTGACAGTGTTAGGGGCATCAACTCTGACACGACACATCTTGTGAACAAAAAATATCCAACGCCTCTATCCTTCACAACTTTCAGATCCCTTCAGCTGCCCCGGTGCCCCTAGCCTCAGCCTCGCAAAGTTTCATATCACCAGAAGCCCGCCCTGGCCAAATTCGGCTTTCTTGGCCATTTTTTTTGGGGAAATCCTCCCCCCAAATTCTATGGTTTATTGTGGTTTAAAAGGGTTCAAACCTTCATTTCCTATGAGAAATGACCCATAAATGACCAATTCAGGACACAATCAAACAATCCAAATGATAAATTTTTCAATCACAGCCATTTCCGAAAAATGCCGAGGTACTGGTCCAAATGGTCACATAGCGACCCACGGTGGGTGCCAAACAGGTGGCATTGCTCCAACCTGTGGCAGTGCGCCAATTCTCACCCCGAAGGTGTCCGTTTTTGGCCCCCAAAATGCCTTTTTTTTTTTAACCATCTTGTTATTTAACATAGCCATGGAAAATCCCCATTTTTAATAGGCAAACCATCTATAAATGGGCCATTTTCCATGGCTATGTTAGTCATAACCAGAGGGTACTTCGTATTATATAACTTTGGATTAAACCAGGTTAACATTAATTCCATCTCATGATTCAGGAGTTCCACATCTTTCATCTTTTCAGGAACGCCTGTGGATGCACTCAGCTCTTCGCGGCAAGGTACACCAGGGACTTCCTGGCGACCATCTGATGGTTACAGAAGTGCCACATTTCGATCAACTTTATTGGAGGATTGATATGTATTGATATGTGAGTTATCCAAATTATGTAAAGTATACATCTCATCCAAGCTATATTTTAGTGATGCACCATAAGTATACCAGTACACCGATACAGTATACCACATCTGTGCTGCAAGGAAATTTTGCGCTCCTGACAATAGGCTGGGCCAGAGATGAGATTCGCGTCCGCAGAAGCGGAGCCTGAGCACGGGAGCGGAGACTGCAGCAGACACCACAAAGATCTTCAGTGCTCTACACATTGGACACTGCACTGATGAACTACTCATGGATCACAACATGTTTTGTCGTTTTTCTGTATCACCTGGGAGTTCGTGGACATCAAAAACTTCTTCGTGACAGCCCACTAGTCATGATTTGGAAATTCGTCTCATCTATGCAGTCCCGTCACCACTTGGCTCAGTCAGCAGAACCATCTTTGGTAAAAGTCGTCTTTTCATGATTTCATGAAAATTTCATCATACTTCTTCAATTTCATCAAAGTATACCCTCTTTCAAACGACACACAAAGTGCCCAGTGTTCCACACCTGCAGCTCCGCTGTTGTAGAGTTTGCAGCTGCTGGAGCTCAAATCATAACTCCACAGTCCGCAGCTTGAACTGGAAGCGCAGCTTTTCATGCCTGGCACACTTGAAAAAGTCCGAAAAAAGGGAACCCATTTGTTGAATGGTCAATAATGATTATTGGCTAGTATAGCCATTACTAACCATGAAGCATTGTTAATATCACTGTTCATCACTGTTAATCACTCTTCCCTTTTTCGATGTTTGTACCTCTGGGTTGGACTTCCTCATTGCCAAGCTGCAATCGCCCCAGGTGCTTTGCGTTGTGGCACTTGTGCCGGAGACCATGTCATTATCCGAGTAGGAGATGTAGTAACTTAGCTGCAGCGCTTTCGGTGACTGAAACCACAACCCTGATCAATGCCTAACAGCAAACCATTTACCCCTCTTGGCTCCAGAATGCTACAGATCAATGCCTATCAATGCCATTTCTGGGATGAACATCCATGAATCCCAGCTATTTTCTAGCTATTTTCTTACCAGGGTTCCATGGCTTGACAAACGTCGTTTCCGCCGAGCATCTCTACACAGGAGCCTGGCAATTGACACAGCGACGCTAGGGTCGAAGAGCTGACATACCTCGGCTGGATGGGACCTCTGCTTGGAGAGTCTTTTTCGAAGATATTTGAACATGGGAAATATGGAGAAATCATGCAGTGATCAATCTGCATACCCCAAAGTTGTTGATCCGAACGTCTCCTGGCTTCTGCATCCGCTCCTGGATTAGATCACCTCTCTCTTTGTCATGTTTCTACATGGGAAATCTCACGGAACTCCCCTGACAAAACATGATTCATCGATCAGCATGAACAAGCAGTGATCAAACTGAGGTCCATATGATTTGGGGATAAATCCCACAACAAAAATGACGTGCCCAGTGACTCCTTTGCTGTCTGATCTTGGTTGATCCGGACACTCGAATCCGTGGTGTACTGATAGCAACCTGCGCATGCAATTTGGTGTAATAAGTCGTTGCACAGCTTTGAAAAGTGATACTAGTCAGAGTAGAATCCAAGATCTTTGGCACGGAACTGGAACAGAGATCATTATATATATATAAATGTCTGTGCATATATGGTACAATTTATTGAACTTCCATTTTACTAGCACGGTCCGAACAAAATTGACTCCATGGATGTGTCTGCAAGTAGGGCAACCCCACAATCCACTGGTCTCTCATCATTTTCCCCGCGAAATCAATGGCCATACAACTGGGGTAACTGCAATGTCCCCGAATTCGGACTTAAAACCATATTCCATTATATTCCCCAAATGTTGGTCACATGCCCATCGTATCCCATGATATCTCCATTAAATATGGATCATTTCCTCCAAAATGGTTGGAGAAACCACTATAGTGTATAATATGTATCATATATGTATTATATATGTATTATATATGTATTATATATGTATTATATATGTATATTATATATGTATATCATGCTATCCGCACTATACCCAAATTCTCCCATGAACTTCCACATTTTTTTTGGGTGAATCCTCGAAAATTGTGCTCGCCTCCAGGAGCAACTTGAGAGGCGGAAGACGAGTGCGCACCCATGCTGATGCCTAACGCCTGCGCGGCTAGGCCGCAACGCACCTTGCTGGCTGGGCCCAGTGGGAAACACCTGGGGGAAGGGATTGGAAGGGATTGGAAGGGATTCAATGATGTTGAATGAATCTAGAGCAAACTCACTCTTGGTGACCAACATATTGAAGTTGGACCCTGAGCATCGACTCCCTGGACGCCGTGGCACGCGGCTTCGAATGGCCTGGTACCCAATGTCTTCGCAAAAACCATCCTGCCACAGGACAGCCATGGGATGTTTGGGATCCAAATTCCGGACCCTTCGGTTCTTCCTTATGGAAAAAATCATCACTTTCTCACTTGACCATAAATCATGGGGTATTCTCTGTGTTTCATCAAATCCATGCTTTTTCATCAAATTGCCAATCAACCTGGGCATTCCCATTTTGAGTCATGTTTCCCAACCATTGCATACCCGAACCATAGTTCTTAGTTCCAAGTTGAATCAGCAAATCTCCATGGAAATCTACATTTTTTCTGGATAAATCATGAGAAACCACCAAATTTGATGGATTGACCCATTTTTGCCATCTCACAGCCTGAATCTGCGTGAAGGGCGCCAAGGGTCCACAGATCCGTGTCTGTGTGCCGCTCAATGTGGTGCTGCTCACGGCACTCTGTGAGGCCAGAGAGGACTCAGCGGTCGCCAAAAAACACCCCACTGTCGATTGGAATGGAACATCTTAACCGGATTTACCATGGATTTTCCATGGATCCCATGAAATCACAGGGCTTCCGGTTTCTTTGTGTTCCCTTCAACTAATCCATAAGGGCAACATGTGGGACATAGAGATGTGAAGTCATCCGTCATTTTTGAAAAAAACCAGTGTTGATCATTCACCTTTCATAGCTTGGAGCAATCCTTCTCAAAAGCTAGCCATTTCTGGTATTAAAACAATTTAAACCCATCCATTTTGGGGTTGACAGTCTGGACCCATGCCGAAAAGATTATTTAAGAAGACAATGGCAAGACAGGCAGACATGGTTGATTGTGGCTTTGAACCACTTGCAAATGTGAAGAATTTAATCACCTTTACGTCGAACAATTTGGGACTTCTGTTGTGCTTTTGCCAAGCGAAGACCAATGATGGAAGCATGCGCAGAAATTTGTAGCAGCAAGGTCGCTGAAGACAGAAATATATTCAGTTTCAAGCACCGCTTATTTTGACACATCTGCGGCCTTCTGAGACTAAGATATTTTTTTGCAGGGAAGGCTGACAAGCGGCACGTTGTCAGGTAGCAAAACAATTGGGTTTTCGTTCCTGAAATCCACCTAAGATCTGGAGTGTTAGTAAAGCCGCCAAGCTACAGCAAAAGTGGATCGCGCATCACCCAGTTTGATCTCCAATGTTGAGGTGGAACCTGGGTGAACAGCTCGAAGAGGAACATTTTTGTTGGCGGTGGGGAAATAATATGTGATCCTGTGGCTGATCCTGTGGCAAGTAAACCCCCGATTTTGGGAAAATTGGGTGGTAAAAGCACATCTCAAATTAGAGGTTTCTTCTTGGCTTTGCCACAATTAATCATTTTTGTTGAAGTTACTGTCCTCACCTCACCCCATAGATTTCATTCTCTGGACTGCATCACCTGCCGTCAAGAGGCTGTCGTAAACACAGCCGTGCAAAGTACCTGTCGCGGAGCTGTAACTGGAGGAGCTGTAGGTCACGCCCAACAGATCCGCGGCGCGCTCGCAGAGGTGCAAGTCCCAGATGTCCCATTTGCTGACCTCGGAAAACCATTGAATATTTGGAAAATTAACAGTGAAACAGGCAAAAATAAAACAATAACCAAAACATGGCCAAAACTTCCAAACGAGCTGAGCATGGAATTTCAAATTAATTTGGAAGTCAGGGTTTGCTGGTAGTATGAGATAAATATGAGGATATTGCACAGAAGTTTCCTCACGCTTCATGACCTGCATGGTCACCGAGAGCAACAATGGAGCCGGGTGGCACTGCTGCAGTCTCCCGTTGTGCTCTCATACCTGGCCAGCCGAAAACCCCGAAGTGTGGAAACTTGGCAAACAGCAAGAGCAAAAACCGGCGAGTCACCTTAGGAAGTAAGACACACATTGTTTTTTGTTGAGACTTCAATTGTTGATTAAAAAGAAATTTGCAACTCCGGCCGCCCAGAATGTCACGCCAGGGCACAGTGAGGAACTGCCCTGTGTGGGCCAGGGCAGTGTTGCCACATGCACTTGGAAACCTGAGCGCCACTTCCATCAAATCATGGGGAACTACCATGGGAACTATGCTATCATATCATTACCACCATTTAGCTATATCACACAATATCACGTATCTATTTTTTACCATATCAAAATTGATATACCCTAGTTAAATTCGAATAATTCTATAGACCAGTAATCTTAGAACTATGTATTAGTTACGTGGGATGAACATCCAGAACTACCAGCCATCATTTGCATGATTATCCAAGATTGACCCATAACCATATCAATTACTATTACCACAAAATTAGTTACTATTATAACTATGTTGCTATAATTGCTATGATCCTAATAAACATAGTACAATAATTATCTACGCAATGACAGTAACTCTGAATACTATGATAATCATCACAATAACTATGATTATAAATCATAAAGTCAGAAGTATAAACTACATTAAATTACCTATATCATCTAAATAACTATATGTATATATATATAGACTTGGTAATTTATAGGGTAAAATAACTATTGTGATTTATTTTAAAACCCCATAAATCACCATGAAAAATTCCCATAAGAGACCTGAGATCTACCGAGAAACCATCACTGGGTGCATAGAGTCTGACCTCCGTCACTGTGCGCGCAGCACCCAGGTCCAATTCCACCCAACGGAGAAGACCTGGCAGATTTTCAGATGTTTGGGCAGATTCTATGGGAAAAACATGGGAAAACGAAGGCTATTGGAGATTTTTATGGAGAAATCACAAGTAAAATATATGAAGGATGATTGGCAAACATGGATTTTAGATCCTCCATTTTTTGTTGGGTCTATAATATCAAATAACTATAAGACATGGTTAGATGAAACTGGGCTTAGATCCACATTTTACCAACGAACACGAGGGATTGGTGTTTGAACATAAACTATGAGGTTTACTGTGATGTAAGCCACCAAAGTGGGTTATACAACCAATTTTGGGGAACCATACGGGATTTTACCAGCCAAAACTTACATTCTGACAGATTTGAAACCTTGGTATTTTTCCTAAACTGACCGGCTCAGTTTGTGTAGGAAAAATGTGCCCCATATGTGGGGATGGGCCGAAGCCGACACCATGTTTTTGGCAAACCGCCATAAACCATACCGGGAACCCCCAAGTGGAGATGGATTATTATTGGGTGTGTATCCTACGAAACATCCACATTGTCTCCCTATTATGCTTACCTTCATTCCACACCGCTTTGTTGGTTAAACTATATATGTTGCAAATCCGAATTTGGTTCACACACACATATATATACATATACAGTACATATAGAGAGATCCATAGCTACCAGCTGTTTTCATGTGACAGGCTAGCCCTAGGTTTCCCGTGAAAAAAACATTTTCCAACGTGAAAAAACCTGCGTTCGGACCTGATGTGACGGTCTCGCAGTTGCTGCAGCTGCTCTCACCGTTTCCATCCACCGCCGCCCGTGCGGTGGCCGTCGCGCTGTCGGAGGTGAACACACCAACAGGTTGGATGATCCTCGCCACTCTGCCATGGTTGGATCATGCAAAGGGCAACTTGAAGAAATCATCAACAAAACACAGCAAAAATTCCATCGAGTTCATGAAACTAAGAACCATATATTAGTATCACTATTAACACTATTAATGATATATCACTATTAATAGTTAACACTATTATTATATTACTAATGATATATTACTATCAATATTAACTAATAGTTGCTATATCATTATTAATAGTTAATAGTCTTTCCAGCATTGATCTCAGATGATTCAAGTGATCCAAGGCTCTCTTCGCTGTCCGGCAGGACGTTGCTGATGAGTCCGTCTTCAGCATCTTGACACACGACGCCATCGTCGATGTAGCCCGTACCCTGGCGTATCAGAAAGCCCAAGAAATATGGGGAATATGTATTGCTGATATGTGGATATCAATAATTTGGATATTCATGGAGAGATATTCATGGAAAATTTGGAACATGATGGGGATAGCATGGGGATATTCCAAGCTTTCTGTTCCAAGATCCCTTCGCCCTTGGCAAACAATGATGAGCCCATGATGGGATCCTGGATCCACACCTTGGTGATCTTCACAGAACTGTCACCCAGCAACTGTAGAGTTGGAGCTGAGTCCACCTGACCGACAGGATCCTTTTGCTTTGGGGAAAATTGTTGGAATTCACCCGTTGAAAGGGGAATGGTTCAAAAACTACAGTTATTAAGGTTTAGTTTAATACTATAGTTACTATAGTTACTATAGTTACTATAATTCTATAGTTACTTTTGGGGATAACTACTATTTTTTGGGGGTTAGGTACCCGATAAAAGTGATACAATGAGATTTCGAGGTGCCCTGGAACAAATGACATTGACATAGACATAGAGAACCCATGGTTTACCAAGGGAACTTATCTACACAGGGGGAGTTCTCCATGTATACATATGTATATATATATATATACATATGTATATATATATGTAGCATTATACATACATACATATACTATTGTTGTTATTATTGTTATTATACATATATGATAATCAAATAAATCACTGTATATGTTATCAAAGTGAATGGACTCGAGGCAACATTCCAACATCTGAGGCCCTGGCGATCACCTGACGGTTGGTGGTCACCACAGAGTTCAGCAACGGATCCACGCAGGTGTAGCTCGTCCTTAACGGATCCATGGGAAAGCAACGACTTGAACCTGTCCGAAGGCTTTTGGGTCGTTGTTTTCCCATGGATATCTGGTATCTGCAACCCCTTTGAGCAAAACTTGTAACGAACCGCCTGCAATTTGTAACCGGGCCTGAAGCCTTCCAATGCATTCGCCCTCATCTTTGATCTTCCATATTCACCCATGCGTCAGGATGCTCGTAGATTCCAGAAGCAGTGCCCACGGAACCATATCCAACCCAAGAAAGGCTCTGCCCACTGTAGTCCAAACAACAGGCCTCCATTGCCAGGGCAAGTTGATATCAGATAGTTTGCCCAATGCATCAGATGCCCAAAAATGCCAGATTTGAAGCTCCAAAGAAAGCAATTGAACTCAGGAAAATGCATTTTTTCTGAGGTTGATTTTGTTTGGCAACATCTTCAAACAAACTCAACAACGCAACCGCCTGCGGATCAGTGAAGGTGTCACCCCTCGGAGCCGTGCATGGTGGGGATGGCCCAAGGGAATGTTTTAAACAGCTTTTTGAAACACTTCAATTAGTTTTAAGAATTCATTGAGCCGCTTGAACCGCTGCAAATCTAGAGAAACATCATGAACCATCATCAACATTCCCCCAATGTTGTCAGCGCCATCTCCTTTCGAGATACGACTCCTTTCGCCAAGCCGCTCCAGAATGGTGAAGGGGTCAGGGCCAATCAGCACAATGGACTGCCAGTCTCTCACATGCACCTGTCAGGTCACTTCGCCATGAGAAGCAGCAGTCTACAGCCCCAAGACCAAATCCTTGGGAAACTCCACAATGACGAACAAGTTGGATGATAACTTGGGATACCACTATTTTAAGAAACCACTATGTAACCGCCTTTCCAAATTTGATGCAACAAATAATGTTTGAACCATCTGCAGGCTAGGGGTTCTTGAGTCCGATGACAGAATCATTCTCATGTGACCGTGTCTGAAAATAAGGTACCCAAAATTATCATGGTTGATCATAGTCTCCTTTGTCAAAGGTTGATATCGTTAAATATTTAGTACTGTGGTAAACGGGTAAAAAAACTCAATGTTTACCATCCCCCAACTGTTGGGTTTACTGTTGGGTTTACCACCTTTTTAATTTTTTCATGTTTGGACAACCAAGTCGTGCCTCCCGACTGTCGGAATCCGTGAGGCCATAGCTATCCTCACCTCGCCCAGTGGATGCCCAAGAGAAAACTCCGTTAAAAAAACCTATTCCAAGAACCCACTCGAGCAGTAAACTCAGTAAAACCCCAATGATGGTGGTTTATTGGAGAAATAATAATTATACTCCCATTTTCGGGTGACTTTTCACTGTGGATGATACAAGAAACATGGATTTTCACCATGATTTCCAACACTGAAACCACTTGAAACCAGTTTGGTTTGTCTGATACCATCGGTTGAAACCTCATTATCCTCCAAAAAGTGGAGAGATTGCTATGATTGGATCAATTTGGGCTTTTTCACATGGTGAAACCATGTTAAACCAGCCATTCTCAGGTACCAAACCAACTTTGACATCTTGAAACCACGGAATCTACGAGTGACAGCTGTACTTGGCGTAGAAGATCCCTGTGGTGCTCAGGCTAGGCTTCTCCACCACCACGTCCCACAGCTGTCCGGACCCTGAACCTCAATGCAGATGGGAAGGGCAAAGTGCCCCAATGATGTCATGGAAAATCTGGGGGGTTGGATCCCTGAACCATCATCTGTTTCTTTTACTACATGGTTTTCAGAAGGCTCTCCGCCTGGGACGGCCAAGTGGCATTGCACACCTGGCTCTTCATATTCGGTCGAGCTCTTCAGGAAGTAGCTGGGGACTGCGCCAAAGATGGTGATCCTCAAAGCGAAATGCCGATGTTTAAAACGGTTAAAGAGGGCCGTGACTGGACCTTTCCGCGGAATCAACAAACTTTCTGTCGTGGATCGTTTGCAGAATCAGAGGAACATCGATTTCATCAAGTTCATGGATGTTCAATCGCCGGGGCTCCAGTTGAATTCTAACATGGATCATATTTTAAAATGGTGTTTTCTTCCAACTTTCAGGTGTTACCCTCTGGTAAATTAACATAGCTATGGAAAATCACCATTTTTAATGGGTAAATCCACTATTTCTATGGCCATTTTCAATAGCTATTTTGACATAACCAGAGGGTAACTTCACACGGATTCTCCAAAGCATCTCCGGTTTGTGGATGGGATCCATTGCCGTACAGCGTGACGATGTGGTGCAAACCACTTCCCAGGCATCTGATGTGTCCGGCCCTGGGAAACACCGTTTAGGATGGTTTAAGATGGTTGATTGTTGGGTTTACTACAAAAAATGGTTGAGGGTTTAGCAGAAATCATGGTTGATGTCAACATGTGTCAACTGTTGGATATTTGATGGTGCTGACTGTTTTATATGGTCTTTTTTCCTTTTTTCTGTTGGTAGCGACTGTTGCCATCCCACCTTGATACTCCAATTTCAAGCGTGCAGAGCCACTGCCAGAGCTAAAATATTCCAAGTACAGCGGATGATTTCCAGCTTCGATATACCTGAGGCGCTGGTCAGGAGGTTACTGCTACTTGAAGTTTTTTGAAATGGAACTACTAAAAACATGAATGGATGGTTTCCAACTGAGAAACGATTCGGAGGGCGGGGTGAAATTCCATCGACCTTTGTTCCCGACGCCTTGAAGTGAAGGAAGGGAACTCCGAATTCGAGTTTTGGCTATTGCTCAATCAATAAATGCAGCGGTTTCCTTCCAAAATCATGATGGTTTTCTCAATCAACATACCCTCTGGTGAACTAACATAGCTATTGAAAATGGCCATTTATAGTGGATTTACCCATTAAAAATAGTGATTATCCATAGCTATGTTAGTTTACCAGAGGGTAAGTCCATCTCCAGAATCTCCAGAACCATCAAGGATCAGAGATTCTGATGGGATTCCCCGTTTCACCATGTTTCACCAAGGCACCAAGGTGCAGATCTCCGCAGGCTCGCGCCGGTACTGCTGATCACACCATCCACTTCCTGACACCGGCAGTTGGTTCGTGGGATGTTGTGGGTTGGTATTGAAAAAAAACCACCTCATATTTGGATATATTTGGTGTTAATTAACCAACATATACCAATATATTAACTGGTATAATATCCAAATATCAGGTGATATTTGGTATATCATCTGGTAGTAACTAATAACAAAAAACACGTCGGAGTGTTAATTCTTGTAGGTGTTCACCCTGAACCGATCAAGATCCCTGGCAATGTATTCGGAACCGGCTGATGCTGACATGACCGCATGGAAGTGACTATAGTGACTGTGGCTACTTGGAAAAAAAATGTTTGCCATGTTGCCCAAACTATATCCGTTCAAAGACCAGCTCAATCCTGTGGAGTTTGCTCTGATCAAACACACCCACATCATGCCCCCTTTCCCGTGATCGCTCGACACATGGAAGATCCAAGGCGCTAATTTCGGAGCGTCGTTCAGATTGATGTCGCTGACTTTCCTGTGGACACTGTACTTGGAACCTCCACACGACAACTACCCGGTGACTAATTTTCCAGTGTTTGTGCGGCAACTACTTGGAATTCGGACCAAAGTGGTGGACACCTTGTGAAATTGAAGTTTGCGGCTTCCCCATCATAACCAAGCGATACCAAGGGATACCAAGGGTCAGTCGGACACCATCACGAAAGTCCAGCTGAAAGGAGTAAAGTCCCGCAGTTGCTATGGTCAAAGTGGTGGCAAACTGAGCTGCGAATTGACCGCTGGAAATCCTGGCAGAACAACTGACTGGTTGTGCTCCTCCTTTGCTTCCGATCCAGTGTTTCCAAAAAGCAACAACTGCAAAGAGGAAGGAGAAGGAGGAGAAGGAGGACAAGGAGGAGAAGGAGGAAGAAAAAAAGAAAAGGAGGAGGAGGAGGAGAACATGAAAATCAACATCAAGAACACCATCACCACAAAAAACTTAATAATGATTAATATTGATTAAACAATAATCATCATCAGCATCATCATCATCATCATCATCATCAGCATCATCAGCGTCATCAGCATCATCAGCATCAGCATCATCATCATCATCATCATCACCATCATCATCATCATCACCATCACAATCACCACCACCACCACCACCACCACCATCATCATCATCATCATCAACACCAGCAGCAGCATCAGCAGCATCAGCAGCATCATCAGCACCATCAGCACCATCAGCACCATCAGCACCATCACCATCAACCACCACCACCACCACAACCACCACCACAACCATCATCATCATCATCATCATCATCATCATCAAAATCACCATCACCATCAACATCACCATCACCATCATCATCACAATCACCACCACCATCATCATCACCACCACTACAATCATCATCATCATCATCATCATCACCATCACCATCACCACCACCATCATCATCACCACCATCACCACCACCATCACCTTCACCATCATCATCACCATCATCACCATCATCATCACCATCACCATCATCACCATCATCATCACCATCATCATCATCATCATCATCATCAGCATCATCAGCATCATCAGCATCATCAGCATCATCAGCATCATCAGCATCATCAGCATCATCACCAACACCACCGATGCGACCATGACCATCAAACCATCATCACCATCCTCAGCAGTTGAGGGCCGGACGCGGCCAGCGCTGTATTGTCAAAGTTGATGGTGGCGTGGGTGTTTGTGGAATTCACGGTGCTGTAGGGCAAATCCTCAAGACGCAGCCGCTGACCATGGATCCGGCAGATCCCTCATTTTCACCAAGATTCTGTGGGAATACTCGTGAGGCCTGTGCGATAGTAATAGTTGGCCTTGCAGTGAAGTTTTGAGCAATATCTGCCATGGAAATATCTGTTTTTTTTTTTTCCCTGGAAAGATCAAGTGTCAACTCAGTATGGAAATCTCCGCCTTGAAGCTACTGTCCACCAGTGTCCAGAAAGCGACCCACAGGCGCATTGCCATCTCGACAGTCTCGTCATCTCCATACAGCTTGGAGGAACTGCGCTACGGTTACTGCGTATGGTCAGGGTGAAAAGTCCGTTTCAATGGTGTTTTCCAAAGGGGCTGTATATCTATTTATATATATTTATATATAAATATATATATATAATTATATATATAATATGATATGATATGATATTATATTATATCATATTTATTTATTTATTTAATCTTTTTTAAGTTCTGAGAAGAAACCATTTTTCATCGCCCCAGAAGACTTAGCAAACAGGAAGATGCAATAAATAACGCCATATCTCAATCCTGATGGTTCATCCCAGATGATTTCAAGGGATCAAATCACCATGTAGCTTCTTTGTGACAGAAATCTTGAGCCACGCAGTTTTTTGTCGATTTTACGCCACCTGGCTTTATGTGCCTCCAATCATTTTCCGACTCCAACAAAAATATGCAAATGGTGGAAATGATGTGGAATCCATTCCATCCATTTCATCCATTCCATCCAATATCCAATACCATTGATGCACTATAAGGGCCATAAGGGGAATGGGAATGGAGATGATGGTGAACATATATATGAATCCATCCATCCCATCCATCCCATGGCTCCACCCGATCCGGGCACGGCGGCACGGCACACGACAGCCGTGAAATGGAGGAACCTGGAGCTACAAACTGGAGCCCACAACCAACGGCGATCAACGTTTCATGAATCCAACGAATCCAATGAAGGCGCCGTGGAAAACCACAAGCCGAATAGCCAACAGCAAAATTTATAGAAACTTGGCACTGAAAACAGAGAAATTCATGGCTTATTGATGGCTTATTGATGGCTTATGCAGCACTTATGCACATCACAAAACGTGGTTATCCGCCCCACCTGGCTCCACCGCCAAACACTGCTGCCACTTTGCACCGTTTTTTTTTCTCAACGCGACCTTGCTGAGAATCCGAAAAGGGCACATCACGCGAAACATCTCTCGAATTTCTGTCCAAGAGAGCGGCCAGATACTGTCGGCAAACGTCACTTGATTTTTAGCGCCAGAAGGATTTCACATCTTCAGAATCTGTGTGCTACGTGTGGCTTGGGGGATGTCTGCAGAGATGGCACATGTCACTCTCGCTGCCAAAAGGCGTGATTTGACATTAGCACCAGTGCTGATCTGCACTGGAATCAACTCCTTTTCCCGAATACTTGCTCGGAATGGAGAACAGGAGAAACAGACTTTGCCAGACTCACAGACATGTGTCGTTTGCCCTTGGCTCTATCTCAAAATGTATCCTACACATCCGCTCTGGAGCTTGAATTGAACACAAAAACAGGGAAACGACTCTCCTAGAGCACCAACACTTCCAAGAGCCACTTGGCTTTATCTGATGGTAAAAACCATTCTGTTGCTCCAATTGGAACGGAGATCTGCGGTTTGAAGATCATTGGAATTTCTGAATGCTGTTCATCCGGCAGGTTGTGGGAAAGCTTTGAGTTTTGCCATGGCCACTGGCATTGGCTTCACTGAGGGGATTGCCCAGCACCTCGAAAGATGCTTCAGAATCCGGTTCGGAGCGTTTTGAAGGCTTCAGTTCTCAGCTGATTTTTGGTTCCATGCAGCAGACCCTGCACAAAGCAAACCGCAATCATCGTCAAATTCTGTTGTAATCTGGACCAGGAAACATGGTCTGGGATTTGGGGTGACCTCAAATTTCCAGCAGCTTTCTGATCTAAGAGCAGTGGCAACTGCTTGCTCTTTCACACGTTGACAGGGGTGCGAACGCAACTTTTCATGGATGTCATGGTCACGTCATGGTCACGTCATGTCACGTCATTTTTGTTACGGGATCAAACAGCCGGTGAAAGCGCTGCGGTTGTCTCGAAACATCACTGAAGGCAGCGAAGGCAGCTAGTGTCCGACGTCACTCGCGAAAGCCACCTACGAATTCAGATTCCTGTTTGCGGAGACGTAACTCCGTTCGTCCTCCAACTTCAAAGTTTATCTCATTATGTCCTAGGTGAAGTCTACATTTTTAATCATTTTTACATGCTTTGCTTTCTTCAGCGGCATTGCAGGAACCGTGACCTTGGACCTTGACAAGTCTGGAGGTGTGACAGATACATGTCACAGTACAAAACAAGTAGATTTACAAATCAGGCATCCAGTCAGGCCACAAATAAACGATCAACAACACTGTTTCTGCCAGCATGGCTGCATGAACCAATGAAGTTCATTCAGCGCGCCACCAGCCGAGATGATTGAACATCCATGACCTTGATCTTATGATTTATGACAGTTCACCATCGGCCACAGCTTCTGAAGCTAGAAGAGCACCCTCCTGCTTGGAAATGGTTCAATGATGTGGTGGCCTAATTTTGCAGCCCTCAAAGTAGAACACTCTCTGGCTATCCATCTGAAACCAAAGTGCACTTGCAAGACAACGTTTTCCGATTCTCTTATCTTAAAAATGATCTTAACAATTCTCGTCTCCAAAACGTAACTTGCCTTGCCAGCATCTTCGGTTTGCAGCGCAATGAAGGGTACTTAAAAGGTTCCATACCTTGCAAAGCCTCTTTGCAACGTCTGCTACAGCTCAAGCTTAAGGAACGTATTCAACCAATTGGCAGCCTGAAGCTATGGCCCTCGTCAAATAAGCTCTGGCTCTAGCCGCTGCCATCGGCCATTTCAAGTGACCTTCTGTGTGCAGGTGATGGTGGAATCCCATGTGAATCAATGAACCAACTCCTGGGACCACAGCGCAGTGCCAGGACGGACTCTCCGTTTAGACCACACCGTTTGCTACTCACCTAAAACCACCTAAAACCAGAGCCTTACTGTATCTGGACTGTCTGGTTGGATTGAAACGCAGTTTTTCCTAAGAAGTGAGATTTGAAGCCACAGATGTTTCTTTCCTCAGTAGGATCATCAAGAAGTGACACAGACCTGCAAGGCAGGAAGGCAGGAGCACAGCTAGCGGACTTTGCTTTGACTATCCACCAAGTGGAACGTTGCAGCATGACTTTAGAACTGGTGTTCCGATGGGAATTTCTTTGGGATCCCCAGCACGACCTCTTGCCCTCTTCATGTTCAAGTCAAGACTCAGAGCTTAAGTTTCACTGGCTCTAGGCTGATCGTGCAACAGACCCAACACCACAACTAGCTATCGTCAGATGGTTCAACGGATGGAGGCTCCAACGGTGTTGAATAAAGCTGGACCTCTTCTAAAATTGACCTAACTAAACTCATCCGTCTGCGCGGGAAATCATCCGACCTCCTGCTTGAGACATCAAAGATATTAAATACTAGTTTCTCTGTAGCAACAAAACTTCCCATGAACAGAGGACGAGCATAGGTGCCCTTCAAAACTGCAAAGATGGGTAAACATGATATTCAAGTCAAGATTCAAAGCTTGAGTTTCTCTGGCTGTAGGCTGATCCATCAACAGATCCAACACCGCAATTAGCTTTTCAGGCTGTTTTTTCCCGCCAATGAGACATGAATCTTGCATTAAATCTTAAAGCCGCTCAGTGTCCTGCCTGCCACCCTAGACGACATTAGTAATTGGATGACCCTGTCTGGAAACCTGTTTGCACATGAAACTGGCAAAAATCTTGGTGGCGGCCAGAGCGAGGTTGCCATCTGGTAGACTGTAGAACACCGTTAAGGCTCCCATTGGAAGCCGACACCAAACGCATGTCATTCGAGTCAATTCGGTAAGTTCGGGTCATTCGAGTCATGTGTCTGCTGATAGAGTGGTGGAGCTCTTCAGGAGAGCCGAATGCTTCTGAGGCCCCTCTCGTCATGGCGGCTGCGAGTAGGCTAATCCTAAGCTGCAAACTATAACTAATGACATAGGTGTCTTTCATGGCAATGTACCACACAGCCACGACTTGCAAACACCTGGCCGGAAGCTATTCCATTTTCGACCTTCCAATACCTTCGGCCGTGGAGCGAAATTGCGTGCATGGCTCTGCGATGAACTAAAGATTCTCTTGAAATTTAGTCATGCACAGAGGGAATTCCTCCCAGAGCTGGCTCAGGTTTCCCTCAGCCATGTTTCAATCCATGTTGTGGTTCTTAACAAGTTCAGGACTGTTCACTCCTGACAATACAGTTTTCACTTGTTTTCACAAGAGAGGGAAAAAAACAACAAACCTACAGAAATTAGCGACATGAAATATGGTGGAATCTTCTTTCAAGGCGGAACCCTCAATGCCGCAGCTGGACCACAAGTCGCCAACAGCTTGCGATCAAACGGGAGCATTTGGAGCATCTAGCGACATGGAGGCCTGAAAACATCATTCACAGAGGCAGGAGCACATCCATGTGAATTTGCTGTCACTACCCACCAAGTGGAACGCAGCAGCGTGACAGTAATTGGTCGTACTTCGGAAATTTCTGTGGATGGGAATGAGTTGAACGACTTGTTTTCAAAACGCAGCACCACTTGGCTAACTCACCAAACTCCAAACCACACAGGCTTTATAGAAAGCCTTTGTCGCACGAACCTATTCCCTGTGAAGGCGGGACGTGGTTCCCACTCGAATTTCTACTGCTACCCTGTCGCTGCATTTATAGTCCAATCATTCTTGACCCTTTTTCTCAAGTAGCCTGGATTCAAACACTGGACTTCAAGGGCACATGCGTTGGCGTCAGTTTTAAAGCTTCATCATTTCCAGATCCATGATGGATCCAACATTTCTGATGAATCCCATCATTTCCAGATTCATCCAGTTGGATCGGATCCATCATTTCTATTTGATGATTCCCAGATCCGTCCCATGATCCCATGATCCCTGGCCGCCAGGAATGTCACCATGGGATCCCCAAAAAGATTTGCTCATGAAGCATATGAAGCCCATAGGAACAAGAATAACATGGAATACATAGGAAAACATAGGAACACGATAATTCCAAGACATGTGACATGCAACTAAACCTGCACTCCTTCCCTCAGCTGAACTTGTATTTTTTTTGTACCTGGTTTGCACATACCATGTTGTTGTCTGTCAACAGATTCTCAGTCTTGAACCAAACGCAATCCATACACAATATCCGACCAATCCATGGCGCAATGCAAGATTGCAACCTCTTAAAAAGGTCGCAATGGTCAAAATGATCAGATTCTGGCTTTGTGAAGCTTCGAGCTCTGGTTGTTGTGCTGTTTTGATTGCTGGAGAAAAGCGGGGAAGCGCAAAAATGCAGATTCCGCGAAAAGCACAACCAAGCAAAGTAGGAAAAACAAGAAGCTGCAGAAGATTGCAGAGCAGAGAACCAGACCAAATAAGCAAGAGAAGTCGAAACGAAAGAGAAAGAGAAGGACCATGTTATGACTCTGGGAAAGCAGAGGCAGAAAAGCACAACACCGAAAAACAGCAAAGCAGCCATGCAGGAATCAAGTTCAAAGTCCCCAAACACGTCACGCCGAGATTTCAAAAAGCGGCTGGAACAGCGACATTGTAGGTGACCTGGTACAGTAACTGGTTTCTGAAAATGTCAGCTGCGAAGCAAGATGGCAATTCATGTCCGAACTCGGAGCTTGCAAATGAATAAAGTGAATAAAGGGTTTACAAAGATGTTCAGAAGGTGTTGGATATCAAAAACATATCTGAAGAGTGGGTAGAGCAGAACTTTGAAAACTTGTCTTTAAGGTAGCACGTCACACCTGGACATGGGAAATCATCAAAATCCTAATACGATAAACATTGAAAAGCACCTTTACAGCATGGTTCAAGATGATCTACACACATCCGGTTCGGTCCTTGTTTTGCACCAGAGGCAGCACTGTTGGCTTATTGCCAGCCCCAAAAAGCTGACTGTCTGGAGGAATCATAGCTTGGTGGGGATAGAAGATGCTGGGAACATAAACTTGGAGTTGTGTTCCCAATTCATAATCAAAAACCAAAAGGAACAACAATGAAACATACCTTTGATATAAATAAATAAATAAATAAATATATATTTATAATTATGTATAATATCTTGTTTGAATGACAAAGAAAGGCTTTACACATGTAAAACACATACGTAACGCCTTACGTAACGTTCCTTTTCATTCACGGTCCTTTCAAGGTGCATCAGAAGGTGCATCCCATCTCCACCAAACATGTTTCAGGTCATCGGGGATGTGCATATACGGAATGTCTTCCAACACGGCTTTGCAAACCGTCACCTTTACCTCCAAAGGCTCCCAGGTCCTCGACCATCCGGTGACAAAATGGGACACAATGGGACCCATGGAATTCAGAAAATATGACAGGATGACCATTCCTTCCGTAAATCTCATAGCCTTGGTGAAATTGGCTAGGCTTATACAAACTGATCTCATTTTCTTTTTTGGATATTAAAAACCTCATCTCTGGATCAAATTCACTAAGTTTTCTGAGTTCATCCCAAGACACTCAGCGATTTTCTGAAAGATCTCCATGGCTTCCTCTCGTGAAGATGGCTCTGCTGTCCACCGCAGCACCGTGGAGTGGACGATGTCCGGCAAATGCGACGCCGGTTCGCCTGGCGGATGGTGAATGATGGCGATCCAACAGTGATCCAAATTGGACTTTCATGGGAAAACCAACAGTGATTTTAATGAAATTAACATGATCTTAAGGGGAAAGCAATGGTTTTGGGGATCTCCCAATTTTTTTCGGAAACATCCAGATGGTTTCCCTACGTAAAAATGAATCGTTGGCACCCGGATGTCACATGGGGTTTTAGATGTTTTTATTGTGATACCACCAGCACAGTTTTTGCAAAGGGTCATTTCTTGCCCAAAACAATATATATATAATATTATATTTCAATCATAATTATATATAGTATTGTAGATATTATAGATATTGCAATGGATTAATATCCATTGCTATTATAATTGACATATATGGGATGTAGTGTCAATCCCCTTTGTATTAACTATTTATAGTATCACTATTTAAATTTATATCAATCTATGCATCAACTCTGTTTCATCAATGCTTCCTTTTGACATCTTGATGCAACGAATACAGATCCCAGTTCAAGGGATGGAACATCGAACGTTCCATTTTTTCAAAGGAATAAATCAATCCCGACTGTGGGTGTGTTCCCATTACATATCTGTCTACATGGTATAGATATATGAGTAAATACATAAAATGTAAATAGATAAAATACATACACATGATACATAAAATGATGTAAATACATAACATGTGTATAGATGTAAATACATAAAATGTATACACATGATATTCACATATTATGTAGAGAGATAGAACGGGAATCATCAAAATGGACCAACAAAACAGGTTTGAACATGATTCTCAGGGTCCTCTTTACCAATTCCATGGTCACCAGGCGCCAGGCCTTCTGGGGTGCCAGGCAAAGTCTTTGCTTTGGACCAATCTATACCTGGCATCCCAGCACCATTGGCTCCACAAAATGGATCTTGAACGACCCAAAAGGAAAAGAATCAAGTTCTGCTCCAAACTGTCCACAAGATGGGTCTTTTTGCGCCAAATCGACTAAGACATCTAAGTTGGGTGTAGATAGTTTGAATCTCCACCCACATGAATTTCTGTTGAGCGAAAGTATTCTGATATGTCCTAGTGAACTTCAAAACTCATGGGAGGTGTGCTAACATGTGCTGACCTGACTGGCAAGTGAAACATTCAACCATCCAGCCAGGTGAAATCGCATGACCACAGGGGAATTTGGGCCATCCATTGTTTGAGATGGCCATTCAAATGGTTCGATATTCTGAGCAACACCAAACACACCAAACATATCAAACACACCAAACACACCAAACATATGGGATATTGATGATATGGGATATGTTGGGAAAACACATCAACTTTTGCCCGCCAAGTTTTGATGCCTTCGGCTGCTTGACCACCCTGCGCCACGATAGCTTCTCGCAAAGCTTGGCGCATGGCAGCGATGGAACCGTCCTGCATCGAATCAACTTCTGCCATGATCACCAGTGGTCACTTGGTCACTTGGTAAATTTGATGTTAGGAATAGGTTCAATAGTTCGCTACCAGCAGAGTTTGAAGTTCCCAAGGAATCTGAACTCCGAACTGGTAAACAGAGTAGCTGCAAAATGGCTATGGGTCATAGCCATTCCTGGTAGGTGAACACAAAAGCAGCTGGTTGTTGTGGCTGTTCATGCACCCGTTTCACCACCACCGGCCATTTTATCAGTTACCCTTTCTCAACAGAATGGTTTAAGAGAAAAAATACAGAACATCACCATCAATTCCATGGTTGAAACATAGTAAGAACCACCGATTCCTTCAACAAAAATCAACCAATCCAGCGGTTTTTTTCCACAAAATCACCAAAGTCTTTGATCACCAAATCCCCAGGTCCAGATCTTCGAATCGAAAGATTCCAGCAGAACCTTCCAGCGTGGGTCGTCCCATCTTGAGACGAAACGAGCCTGGGTCGATGGGTCATCGGGTCATCGGGTCCGTCATGATCCTCACGGTGATGGTGAAATGAAGAAGAACTAGATATTTTCATATATTTTCCCTATAAATCCCTATCAGGCCTTTAATTTTTTGAACGGCGATATATCAAACCTGGTTTGACACCAACCAGGTTTTTACATCGAATCGATGCACAGCAATGGGATGATACGTGACATCACCAGGTCCCACTGACGTCAGATCGTCAGATCGCCTTTGGGCCAATGTTCTGAAGCTTTGACCTGACGAAATGGACACTGGAGTCACTGGTAACTGTTTAATTCTGTTTAACTCTGTTTGATTTTTGGTGACAAGTCATGGAAGTCATGGCACCACAACTTCTATTCTGAAACCTGATCCTTACCCTGTCACAACAAGCGCTGCAACAACTTATTTTCCCATGTCACGACCTGAGACCCGCCAAGATCCAAAAAGCTGCTACATCCCATACTTATCATATATTATATATATAATATTTATGTAATATAGAACTGGAACAAACATGGAAGGGCCACAGTACAAACAGCTTTCCGGGCCTTCTCGAGCACGCTACACCAACGTCCGATGGCTCCTTCGTCCTCCAAGGGACCTGGCCATGGCCAAACGGGAAGATTGTGACAGGCCTCAGCCCCAAAAGACTTTTGGAGGCCATCATTGCATATCATTGCCATCTCCTTCGTTAAGGCTGTCTGCTCCCTCATAATCAGCTCATAATCAGCTCATGCGCCAATTGGTGATACGGTGGAAACATGCACCAGGAAAGTAAGGTAAGGGTGAATAATTCTAGTTTCAATATGTCAATATGTTTCCATCCGATCATCCACACCTTGCGTCTATTAATCCTATGAAAATCCATTCAAAATCATGATAATTTAGTGCCAGGCCATTGTATGATCCAGGCCTGCAGTAAAGGCCCGAAAGGTGCAGATGGTGCAATGTAAGGTGCTGGAAGGATAGATGTATGCCTGGCCAAAAAAAAGAAGGGCTCTGCGCTGAACAATGGACCAAAAAACATCGACACATGAGAGTTGCTCATCAAAATGCTGTCTGAAAATTTCGGTGAACACCATATTTGATGGTTGACTCAATCATTTTTTCCAAACATAGCGATGCAAATTTATGCAAAATCCCACTGATTTTCAGATGAAAAACCCTTCGTTCGCCTCTTTGGGCATCGCATCTTTCAAACGCTCTCGAAAACTGTCGTAGGCCTGCTGCCTGGAAGGTGGACGCGATTTTTGTGTAGCCCTTTGCAAAGGAAAAACACACAAGAAGGTTTTGGAGAACTTTTCATATTTCGACTGAACTTGAGGTGGTGCCAATTTTTTGGTAGATGATGTGTTTGCTTCCGACTACCGCTTCACATGATCAATTTACAATTGCAATTCTTACGCTGTCTGCTCAGAAATATACACATCCTAATGTCAAAAAGGATACTTCTTGCACAACTAACCATTGTGTACTGTGTAGAGTATAAACATATATATATATAAATTCACCCCTTATATCAACTGGTGCTATATACTATATATATATATTTACAAACCTGAATCAATAAATTTAAGACGGCACATCTTCCACGAACGTGTGCCGGATGCTTCTCGAGGAACACTTCATGAGGCATCGGCCAGGAACAATTCCTGATGCGAAGGAAACGCAACAATCAACAAATGTGGTTAACCACCGGGCTTCAAAAACTCTGGTAGGTGACAAAAAATCTGAAGCACCTTTCATGGCCTCCAGACTCCAACTATACCGAAAAGAGAGTGGTTGGTAGAAAAACGCCATAGTAAAATGAGATATCATCAGATATCAGCATCATTCATGAATCATTCACCATCTGGTTGTTTTATTTATCCCCACATGGCCGAGCTTCAGCACCAAACCTTTCATCTTCCCTGGCACCACATCACCCAGGGCTAAACTGGCCACGACAGGATTGGCCCACGACATGGCGGCTGTTGAAACCAAGAGATCTGCGTGAAAAACACCGTTTTTTTTGTCTGGTGATACAATGTAGGGCAACGTAGGGTCAAAAAGTCTAAATGCTTTATGTTTGGTTTTTGATTTTTGAAAGACTTGTAGCTGGTGGTTTGCTGGCTGGAGCTTCTGAAATCTTGCACAGACCTTCACTATATGTCCAATGCTACTGCGGTACACCCAGCGTCAAATCCTGGAAACGGTGCGGAATGGCAGTATTGCCTGGTGGAAGCAAACATCACGGCAAGATTTCGTGTGATTTCATCATTCATCATAGCAATCATCCAGTGGAAAGAAACACCGCTGGGTGACTTCTGCCAATTCCTGGTGACCTGCCTGTGAATCCGGCATTTTTCCGACAGCATGGCGTTCTTCACCCCAGGGAAGATGCGATCTGAGAACAAGTAAAGCCATGAAATTTACTAAGGGTCCACCCAAAACGTAAACGCATGTAAACGCATTGTGAGTAGAATCCTCAAATTCTGGATGAAACTACCAAAGGGGAATTGATCACCAATCACCTGCAACAAATCCAGCTTCTGATTCAAGGAGAGCATTGGTCCTAGTGAAGCCGCAGTCAACATGACATGAAGCACAAAGATGGCTCGAATGAAATTTCCAGCTGTGCGGAGGGTCCATAATCATATCAGTGGTAAGTCCTAGGAGCTGCTGAGGCTGCTATATCCATATCTGCCATATCATCTATCCTGTGACATCCGCACCGTCTTAGACTAGAACCTCACTGACAGGTCGCAATCTACATCTTTTTCAACCTGGTTTCTCTGGCGTCATTGGCCGCATGACCAGGTCATGGATGATGCCGCTGTTTCGATCAATTCCATAGGCACGCGGCCATGGAATCGTGTTATCTGTTGCAATCTGTTGTGCAATCTGTTGTGCAATCTGTTGCAGGGGCTCACATCAACATCAGTTGCACCAGAACAAGTAATGCTTGTGACAAGACTTGTCTTCAATTTATCAAGTGGCACACCCAGCAGCCTTTGGGTCTCGGGGATTTTAGTTGATAGAGGTGTCAAATAACACAATATCCCAGACATTAACTGCAAATGCTAATAGTTATGGATATCGGTGCAGGTTACCACGTCAGGAAATTCTTAGCTTGTTCAAATTTCTTCAAGCAACATACCATCTGGTTATGACTAACAGTTCGCCATGGAAAGATCCACCATTTTTAATAGGTAAACCATCTATTTCTATGGGCCGTCTATACCATGGCTATGTTAGTCATTACCAGAGTAAGTCTATGAACTTTGCCAGCTGAATCTTCTACCCGCCTTGCGTCGCAGTATCATGGCGGAGCCTCACCATTTGTGCAATCTTCGTCGTTTTCCTTGGGCACAGTGCCGTGGTCCAACGGTCAATTCATAGATATAGACCAACTGATCAAAAGGATCCCACAAAATGGTGCCTTGGCACCCAGCCTACAGATTGACTTCTTGCCTGAAGTCAGAAGGTGAAACTACATGAAGGTGACAACATGACATTGAACATCAGGAGAAACTTCTTTTAACACAGAGTCAAACAGAGTGTGAAAGAACACAACATCTGCACTGCTCTTTGAACACCAAGACTTGCTAGACTTTTGCAGAGTGCTTCAAGACTTTTGCTTCAAGTGTTTTGCCAAGGGTCCTCCTCTTCACATTTTTCACACCACGAATCGATCAAGCCGCGGCAAACACAGCAAGGAAGAACCTCACTGTACCACACATGGAATCGGCGACATCGGACCCGGCGACAGAACCGGCCCCGGCCTTCCGGGCCAACCGTTGCTGGCAGCTGCCGCAGAAGGGGCCATGTCTACAACCTCGTGACACTCGTGACAGTCGTGTCAGTCGTGTCAAATAGCTGTGTCAAATGGGCAAATCGACACAAACGTGACTCAAATGGAATCTGAAAAATGTAAACTGCAAAATGTATTGCAAACCCAACTTCGCGATACTTCGTGTATTGTGCATTCATCTCATTCATAACATCTCATTCTAATCTCATTCACATATCATTCGCAAATTCATATACCCTCTGGTGATTTAACATAGCCATGGTATAGATGGCCCATAGAAACAGATGGTTTACCTATTAATAGCATGGTGGATCTTTCCATGGCGAACTGTTAGTCATAACCAGAGGGTAAATCCCATTACATCCCATTAAATCACCATTTATGGTTGACTTTCCCATTAAAAATGATGGTTTTCCCAGTAAACCCATAGCTGATGTTTCTGATGTTTCGATTCCATCCCATGGTGCGACGAGCGCCTGGGGAGAAAATGGATCGTCGCACCAAGCACGCGTACATGGCACATCCTGGGATGATCCCCTTGCGGCCCAACTCCGTTGTTGTGACGAATGGATAGAAAAGAAAATAATGAAAAAATGGATAGAAACAGTGAATCACATGATCATCTTTGGATTGATAGTTTTTTTGATAGAATCAAATGATCATCTGATAGATCTTTGGATTGAGTCAATTTTTTGATAGATAAACAGATACCATCTCGATGGATTCAGCAGTTTGTCAGCGAAACCACTTCCATGGGAATCATCCCTGGCCTGTTTTTGCAACGGGCTTGGTGCATTGGGCACAGCATTGTCCTAGCGACTCGGAGGAAACAATACCTCAGCGGCAGCACAGTCATGGCTACGGTATGAAAAACCAGGTTTTATCGATGCTTTTGCAAAAAGGGAGGCACATCCATAGCTCTTTTTTTCGTTTTTCTGGTAATCAAAGCTGGGTTCCGCCTCCTGGAGAATATCATGTAACATCCAACGAGAAAGTTCAGGGGTCCCAGCCGAATGAAACAGAAAATGTACTGAGTAGTGTACTGGCATACTCAAAAAGTTGGGGACCTCTGAAATTCATTAAAATTCTTCAAACCAGTCCGTTTTTGCAAACTGGCCCGAGATATCTCCGTGTTGGCGTCATCTGCTGCCCGGAAACGGATCTTCATACCTGGAGGCTTTGATGCTTGAGTCACCTGCAGGGGCACCCCACCATTCTTGGACACACCATACGGTTCAAAGTCATAGAAAGTTTATCACCACACATGTTTCTAACATCTCAGATATCATAAACCTTAAGAACTTGGTTCGCATTTGAACAAACATGAACATCATCAATAATGGGATGGTTGAAACACGTTGAAACCCTATAAATATTGGGATGGTTGCCACCTATCAACTGATGGAATCTGGCTGACCTCCACCTCCTCTCTGCTCCACTCGCTGCGGCCAAACTGGTTGGTGGCACAAACTCGAATCCTCCACCGTTCCAACGAAAGACCGGTCTGGCTTTTCATCAAGTTGGGGTCCAAAACAAATCAACCAACGCGTTGCTGTCTATCAAGGATTCTACTGGTTGATGGGTCTTACCAATTCATCGATTATCATATGATCCTCATTAATATTTTGGTTGAGATTGAAACACATATTCATATTATGATCATCATCTTTTCACATTTTATATTGAGACTTTATGATCATCATATTAAATCATTTTTGATAATGATATTCATCCCTGTTGAAACAAACCAAGGGCGACTTGGTCACTGCGTGTCCCCATCCTGGTGACTGCGTGCTCAGGTGGCACGTCCAGGATGGTGCCCCACCTGCAATGAGATTTAAGGCATTAACTACAGCTCTTCTATGCTATTCCATGCTGTCTTACATATATATATATATACATATTTATGTCTATATATATATATATACATATGTATATATATAATTATATATTTGTATATTATGTATATATATATGTCTGATTGGCATCCCCAAAAAGATAGAAACACATTGCATATTTGTTCTTTATTCTATCATCTATTTCCTGTAGATGTTCAAAGTGGATTCAACGCGACCCCAGTCCACCATTGCCCACTATGCAGGGCTTGCCACATTCCTATCTTGATCAACTGACGAAACATCTCCGGTTTGTTGCTGCTAAAAAGCTCAGTTTTTCTTTGCTACTTCTCAATCGCCGTGAATTTCACTATGGTTAAATCCCCACATCAAATCACAGAAGAAATCCAGGTTTTAATAGCCATTTGCCAACCCAAAAAATCACAGGTTTTGCGCCATTTTTCATGACTTTACAACCGCTCCCTTTAAACAGCTCGGGATCATTGACAAAATCTCGCAACACCTTCCAGGAGCACCACGTAGCTCGCGACACCTCACAGGTTTTTCTGATGACAGCAATATATCATTGGAATATATATATATAAATATATATATATACATTTATACATTATGATATCATATATTAGATTATCATAATTCATTATATTAGATGATAATATAGATGATAATGACATATGATATATTGCCAGTATAGTCTGTATAGTATATATGACAGCATATTATATAGATTATCATAATAGTATCTATAATAGCATCTATTGATTAGATATATTATATATGGAGGATTATATTAGTACTATATATATAGTATTGATATATGAATATTAATTATAATGATATGTGATAACCAATGATAATATATTGATATATATATATATACATTATTTGAATTATGATAATCAAATATAATCCATATAATCCCCCTTGGAGGACAATTATCCATTGATAATTATAATCTCTAGATACTGATCATGATCAGGATAATGATGAGCTATCATTATCTATCATCCAAGTTGGATTTTGCTTCCTCAGGTCGGGCTATCGCTGAGGGCTCCAAACAAGTTCTCTGTCACGGGTTCCTCCTGGGATTTTTATGGGAGCACTGAGATTTCTCCTGGGATTTCTTGTCATCTTCCTTTCTTTTCTTCAAATTCATTGATGATTTCCTAGCGAAAATGCACGCGTAGACAGGTTCAGCAGAGTTTCCAGACTTATCCAATTGGAATCCGATTCGCCACAGCGATATTGTGAGGGTCATAGGGTGGTCATAGCGCTATCTTTGCTCCACCAGGTGCACTCAACAGAATCAACGGTTTTTTTTCGTTCCAAACCATACTTTTTGG